GAACATACATTAAATTTTCGTAAATATACTGAGAGGCCAAAGTTAATATATTTATTTCTTTAAATTTATCTGTAAGAGACTCTCGGTTTTAGGTTGTAAACAGCTCTAATGGCCCTCTTCTGTAAAACAAAAATAGTTTCTGAATCAGCCGCATTTCCCCGTAGCAAAATCCCATTAGACATTATGCTATGGAAATAACTGAAATAAACTAATCTAGCTGTCTCGACACTAGTGAGACCTCTAATCTTTTTTACAGCATAGGCTGCAGAACTTATAATGGATGACCTTGGTTTTTTTTACTGTGTTGAGTAAATTGAGTCACGTTCAAAGACGTGCTGCTATTTGTTTAGCAGTCGGTGCTGAATCGAAGGTCAGTATGCAAGGTCAGTAGGCATATATAACTAGTGACATTAGCCTAATAGTTATTAATTAGGTCGCAGTATATCGATTATTTCTTTTTGCCTTTACACAGTGCTTCCCGACGACTTTTTCCCTTCGGTGGCTACATTAAAAAAATCCAATACCTCATTTCGTTCCGACATATAGCAGTAAGACATCCCGTTTACGCCACACGTGACATACATAAAGTACGTAAATCTGTGACGTGAAGCAGCAACAGATATCTGGTATTGGGATCGCAAATCCAACTTCCAAGAACGGCAACCATTGCAAAATCTCCCTTTAACGATACAGGTCCATGTACAGCTATGGACTTACACAGAAACAAGTTTCATGTAAAAAGTTCCCTACGACTTGAACTTGATTACAATGCCGTTTAAAGGTACCTAAGTGGTGACATAAGCCCCAGATTGTTGAGCTAGCTTTAAAAAGCTTATTTACTCTGCTCGGACGTCGCGGTGATTATACCTAATCCGTACCGAAGAAATGTTCAGACACGTACTGATCATCATCATTCATCATCATCACCATCACTCACCATTTTTATATAGCAGAGTCCAAAATACCTACGATAAAACTTTAAAAGCCTCCTGACTCTGGCTAACAGAAAACGTCGCGAGACAGCAGTGCCTGAATGTCTGAAGGGAGAACGAGGAATTAACCCATGTATTACTGCTTACACTCTTAAAAGTGTATTTTGAAAAACAGCGAAGCTGGTTACTATTCACTTGCCTATACTGCCTCGTTGATCCAGAGGTCGTAAAAACGCGGCTGTTAATCATGAGATCCCAGGTTTCGAATCCCGGGTCAGGATAAAACAGATAAAACAGATTGTTTTTTTTAGATTTTTTTTATAGCAGCTCGGAGACAGATAGTCGGCGGTGTTTCTCTCCCATTTCTGTTTTAGAAGCGAATCTTCAAAGTATAAATTAATACCTATAAATGACTTTTCAAAAACAAACTTAAAAAAAACTGTCGATCAACATTTACACGCAATTTTTTAAACAATTACTTCAGCATCAGAAGAATCATCATCATCCTTACAGTACTTCACAAATCCACTGCTGAAAATAGGCCTACCCTAAGTAATAAATACCACAAAGCACGGTCTCAGGATGGCTCAGGCTACCTGCATTCATCGACTTGTTGCATTTCTAACCAGGTTGCCACTCCATCTAGAGGGAGATCGAGCTACTAGATTACTTATCTTATTGAAGAATAATTTCGAAATCGATTTATACTTCCTTTCGCTTGTATTATTAAACTGCTGCAAAAATTCGTGGTCACATAATATGTATACATACAAGAAAAAAATGTTTTTATTACCTATCTCACGAATTTTTCGGTAGCTCCTAGCCCAAAGTAAAACGACGTAGGTCAACGGGATCATGCCAAATAACAGTTTGATAACAAATTGACAAATGAACATCACATCAGTGTGTTAGTAATAATTTAAATTATGTACTTAACTTTAATACCTACGCTAATAGATAAGTAGTATAATAATACACATTACTAAAACTAGATCTAAAACGTGCTTCAAAAGCGCGTGGTCACATTTTCTAGTACTATCAACACTTACCATATCATATCCAGCCAACACTGCAGACGTTAGTGTCTCTTTAATCCAATCAAACAATAATATAAAACTAGAGTATTTTCGTTTTATTCACAACAAATTAAACCCCTTTGCTTTAACATAATATACTCAATGCACACTAAGACCGACCACACAAACACAACCAACAACCACCTACGCACGCGGCAGTCACTTAAATCGCCTAAATCGCGGGTCGCAACGACGATCACGAACGATCGTGCGATCAACGTAATCGCGTTCACGAAATATTAGTGATGCGACTCGAGTACAATTTGACTCGAGTGATATCAAAAAAAACATCGTACTCATACACGCTTAGTAATAATATAAGCGCTAATGAGATGATAAAGTGTGATGGTTTCTTGTATAACTACTATTTACTTACTCTGTTAATGTCTGAATGTGAACAGCAAAGATAGTTTCAAATCGTAAATAAAATAGAAATGGTATCCAAAATTGTGAATAAATTATTGTTTTTAATATTTGCTGAAAAACCTATTGAATTTAAAAGGTGTTGCTTTAATTTATACTCTGTTGTAGTAAACGTGTCAAAAATAAAAATTCATTTTACATGCTTTTAATTAATTTGCATTCTTTGTCTTCGTATCCTTTTCAAGATTTGTGAGTGATTTTTGAAGCTCATTTTGACATGACTTGTGATTGGGCTGTTTAACATATTTATGGTTACATAATATGATACTATGGAGCTGATCTAATGATGTATTCGGATGCTAGCCCTAGTGACAAAAATAGAACTTGTTTTCAAATAGATTTTTTTAATTAACCAACTGGTTGACATTTCTGATTATGTTTGCTTGAATTCAACGGTTCCGTGGCGCAGTGGCTTGGCATTGAGTTTTAGTACTAAATACCCTGAATAAAAATCGAATCCTGTAATTCAAGTACTTGTATGGTCTACAAATAATTGTTCCGGGTGTAAATGTTAGTCCTTGTGTTATATATGTATACAAAATTGCCTCTAATGGGTAGAAATTGAAGGGTAAAATTTGTTTAACAAAAGAAAAATACTTAATTTATGAGCGGTTATTTATTTATTATACGTTTAAATGACGTTTTATTTTCATGAATTTTATAATGCTGATGATACAATTCAATTGTCAAATTTTGTTTGACGCTACCTCCACCACTCCATAAAATAATGTAAAGTAAAAGTATCCGATCTTGAAAAAACATCGATGTTAATGAAGAGATGTATAAAAAAAATATCGATTTTTGATTACGATATATTACATCGAACAAAAATATCGATGTATTTCATAAGTACACACCCCTAACGTTCACAAACTAAATCGCGGTCATTGTCATTGGTTCATTGCACTTAAGAATGGGTTGCCAGCTGTAAAATAAAATCACGTCCAACATACTATTTTGTGGTATCTGTGTTGTTGATAAAATATTTATTACAGAAAAAAGTAAAAATATTACTACCATAAATTCGAACATAACAATAAATTTACAAATATCTGCCTTAATGTCAGAAAATAGATTAGTAGATTTATTTCTTCTGGCTATAATGTTCTAAATATGAAGTAGTTTTAGTCTTTATATATTTATATTTTTTTTATTATATATATATTAATGAAACTTTACTTTTAATTTTACGAGAGTTACCACTACCTACAACAAATATGCATTTTGCTTCAAATTTTATTTTAGTATACAGGTTTTCAATTAAAATGTGTAAGTGGTGGCATAACTTTACCGTCTTTTTTTCTTAAGTTAAGAAAAAATAACGTTTTTTATTTATCTCGAAAATGTGTCGTGAATATTACATCAATTATGAAACCAAATATTGATCAAATTATCTAGCAGAGGATGTGCAAGACCTGTTTTTTTTATATTTATCAAGATTGAATGAAGACATATTAAGTGCTGATTGCAAACCATGAACCAAATATAATGCAATGAAATGACGTCTTATAATATTTGAAGAGGAGTGTGAGATTTGTCATTATTAAGTTTATATCGAGAAAGTGTGCAGAAAGTTATGTAAAATAAAATATAACATTCATTGTTTACGTTCATTGTCTTAAACACAATCCGATTTTATAATCATTACGTTTTACATATACTAATCTGTGGTCAACCAGTCGCACGGAGTAGGGATTGTAGAAATAGCTAAAGTAAACAAGTCCAGCTGTTTCCACACTGGTAAGAATTCTAATCTTTTTTATTGCATATGCTGCGGAACCAAGTCTGCTTGCTAATTTTGTTATATGGTGACTCCATTAAAACTTTGCGTCTAGTGTTGTTCGAAGAAAAATAGTGTAATCATAAGCTTAAACAATGTTCCATACAAAAAATTAGGATTATGAATGTGATGGAAGTTTCTTCATTATGTTACTTCTAAATTTCTCCAAGCTACGTGCATTTACTAAAACAAACACAATTTTCTCATCTACTTGATTTTTGTAAACATAAGGTTTGTAAACATACTAAATAGATTGTGATATAACAGATAAGATGGAAAATACCAAGATTGGCTAAGAGCGGCAGCAGCGCCAAAGGTGCGACGTCTTGTATTGCAATCGTCAATCCGCCTGCCGAATGTGACGATTAAGGCAAACCCTTCTTATAATGGCAGCGACTCATGTGCAGCAATGAACTTTTACGGACTGATAAAGAAGAATAAGAAGAAGTGTATTATACTATTAGCCATTAAATGTGCGGCTAATATTTTAGTAGATATTGCGTAGAAAATGGTTTTTAGTTAGTGGCATTTGGTAGATTTTGGCTTCTTTATTTAGTAGGTTTGTCAAATAAAAACTGGTCATATCACCAAGCTGTCAGGTGTCAGCTATCACACAAAATACAAATGTCAATAGGGATTAAGATATTTCATTCTCTGTTTCTGTGTTTAGTAATTTAGCATCTAGCAATCTATTTTTAAAACTGCTGTTCTTATTAACTTGTAGCCTTTTTAATGACTTTATATTGTAATAACGCTTAATAAAAACATCAAATAAAATACAAAAATATAATGGTTAACTCAAGTCTTGCTTATGAAATACTTTTGTACATTAATTCATTTTATTTTGGTCTTTTCGCCACGTGTGAATTGGGTACGCTTATCCTAAAATCTATACTTATCGGCAATAAGCACAATAGCGATAGTTATTGGACAACAGTCGGACAAGACTATGGAGTATTAACGGGGCTATTTATAGTAGAAGGAGCTAGACTTTTCCTGGGACGTAAAGGAAGCCTTAGTGAAAGAGGTAAGACATATACTTTGATGTATTTCTTTATTGTATATCACAATGGGATAAAAAGTGCAGACTTAAGGTATATCCACACAATGAATTCAGCATTATTATGCTCTACCCGCACTCCAGTATTAATTTATATAAATATGTGTATATTATATCCCATTTATTATTAATGCCATCAAATTTTGTATGTTATTGCATACCTAGTTTATAGACAATAAGTGTTTCTTTATTTCTGTACAGTGAAGAATTTTTTTTATAGAATAAGTTTGACAAATGAGCACACAGTCCACCTGATTGGAAGTCAATGATGTGCCTATAGACATCTTCATCTGTCCATCTGCAAATGTGTTGTCACCTCTAAGGACTAAGATAAAATGTCTCCTTTCAAAAAAATACTTACTGGATCTGTACTAGGTATGGGTAATATCACTTTTACCCTATATCAAATCGTACCTATGTATTGGATATGAAAATCCGATTTTGTATCTATATATTTCAATATCTATATATTTGTTAATATCTTCGTTCTGAATAGAAGTCGGTACTCACATGGTGATATGCGATTTAAGAACGAATTTCCATATATAGATTTATAAGTATCTTATAATATATATAATATATAAGTTTCTTATAATATAAAAAGTAACATACATATATCATTAGGATTTATCCTGCGAGATAATGAAATAGAATATTAAATTGGATTTTTTCACACGTTCTTGTTGTAGGTGATCCACTTTTCATCACCAGTGATCAATCTTTTCAAAAATAGTTCGGTTTCATTAGAATTGCAACATAAAGTAGTAAAAGTAAACAATTCATCAGGTTTCTTTCAGTGAGCTTGTTTGGTACCCAAATATTGAGTTTTTTTGTAGTGTCCAACCGAAACAGGATTTTCAACCAAAACCGAAAACGAACCCTCGCTCTGGGTGTCAGTTTCGGCCGAAACTGAGACCGAAATCGAGACCGAAACCAAAACTTATTTAGACATGTTAATTTTTTTTTAATGTATACTGGAATTTGGTATATTTTTATACATATGCAGATAGGTAACACATGTTAATTAAAAACAGTAATTGTAATAGTCATGCAGCGATATATTTATTTATTTTCAAATAATTTAACGTTAACACTTTCTACTTATGTAAATCAATTTTGTAAAAAAATCAACACTTGTGCCCATAAAAAGTTACTCGCTAATTGAGAACATATTTTACTGTGTACACAATATTGTTAATATTAATCAATGAGAGCATTTTAACTTAATATATCACACTCACAAACTTAAACACAATATACACAAAACTTAACAAAATCTCAGAAAATATATAAAACCTGCTCAAAGTTCAAAAACTTTAATAAATTAAGTTAGTATAAAAAGAGTTATTATAATATTAAGGAATTAATAATGGATGATAATAACCCCTGGAAATGAGGTGATCACTACCAAGCTATTTATAATTTGTTTTGTGTTGTTAATTGATGATTGTAAGAGTGGCGTAGCTAGGTGTGGGCGAAGTGGGCCCTCGCCCACGGCCTCACACTTAAAGTGGTCTCGCAAGGCACCGTAAAATGCGATGCCCCAAGACTAACACAGATGACTAATCACTTTTACGCTTTTTTTTGTAGGAGAGGGGGCAAACGAGCATGCGGCTCACCTGATGGTAAGTGACTACCGCCGCCCATGAACAACTGCTACACCAAGGAAATTGCAGATGCGTTGCTGACCTTTTAAAACGGAGTAGGCTCTTTTCTTGAAGGTCCCTAAGTCGTATCGGTCCGGAAAAATCGCTGGTGGTAATCGATAACACAGGAAAGTTGTGCGATAAAGAAAACATCATCTAAATCGCACAGTGGTTGACCGCCAATCATCCAGACGATATGGATGGTATGGCGAGTTTTGTCTCGATGTGCGATGGTGAAATTGAGCGGCTGGAATTAGTCCGAACAATCCTCGGAGCACTCCCTCTGGTACATGCGATAAAATACGCAAAGAGATGCAACATCTCTACCCAGAGCCAGTGAGTCAAGCCGTTCGAATAGAACTCGGTCGTCTACGATTCTAACCGCTCTGCGCTGGATGCGGTCAAATGGAAGAAGCTGGCACTGGGGAGCCCCTGCCCAGAGATGGGAACAGTATTCCATGTGAGGCCGCACCTGCGCCTTATAAAGTTGCAGGCGGTGTACCGGCATGAAAAACTGTCTTGATCTGCTGAGCACGCAAAGCTTTTTAGAGGACAATTTGGCCTTCTCTTCCAAGTGATCACTCTTCCTCGTGTGTTTGTTTGGGGCCTCCCAAGAAGCCTCCCTTAAATGCGACTGCGAGGCCGTTGAAACTACCTTCAAAGACAGTGATTGTTAAATTGACGGAATACGAGACTTTTCAGGAATTAATAGATATGAGTAGGTACGAGGTGACACTGAAAGTTCTTAGCAAATCAAAAACTGAACAAACTAGCAAGTTATTAGTTTTATTATATCTTTTCAAAATAGTGTCCATTTACATCAATACATCGCATCTGCATCCGATGGAACCACTGAGAAAATCACTTTGCCCACTCGTCCTTAGGGGTCTCTTCGACATTTTGAAACGCAGCCATTGCTTACTCGGCGTCCTTAAAACGTTTTCGTCGACGTTTTTCTTTTATTTTCGGAAATAAATAAAAATCGCAAGGTTATAGGGCGGGTGACCCAGCAATTCCACGTCTTACGTCGCCAAGTAGTCGAATGTTTGCTTGGCGGTGTGTGACAAAGCGATGTCTTGGTGAAGGAGGATCCTACTGCGAGGTCGTTTCTCCCGAACTTTTTCCAAGACAAATGGCAAACAATTGTTAGTGTACCACTCTGCAGTAACTGTTTTTCGACCCAATAAAACAATTGTTGTGTAATAACCTGTCCTTCCAAAGAACGAGGCCACCATGTTTTTTCCCACGCTTCGACCTCTCTTCACTTTCAGCCTGTCTCTTAGTTGCAGGTTCATAACAATCCAGCTTTCGTCACCCGTAAGTATGTCGAACACAGCATTTGAGTCACCTCCGTTAAATCTTTGAACCATTTCACGACACCAATCAACACGACGGAGTTTTTAAGCCTCTGTCAAATTATGAGGTATCCACCGGGCACAAAGCTTCCTGACCGCTAAATTAATGTTCATGGAGTATTTTGTGCACTTGACACATACCGATGCCTAATCTTGTCCAAATCTACTGATAAGTCACTCTTTTGTCAGTCTCTATCACACGCCGCACAACACTGATGTTATCTTCAGTCGTCGCTGTAGAAGGCCGTCCCTCACGCAAATCATCGGTGAGATTAGTGCGACCACGTCTAAACTCATTAAACCAGTTGTAATCAGTAGCACGAGATGGGGCTTCATTTTGAAAGGCCAATCGAAGTCTATCATATCTTTCTTGTTGACTTAAATGACATCGAAATTCATAAAAAATCAATGTACGAAAATTTTCTCGCGTTAAATTCATGCTGACGTAACACAGACAAATTTCAATTTGTCCCTAAATCGTAAACAAATGACAAATTAATAAAATACATACACAATAATATTACCAAAGAGTCTTATTTTCAAAATTTGAACTTATTTTTTTATTATATTGTTTACAAGTGGCCAGTTCTAAAAACTTTGAGTGTCCCTCTTGTATGTCGTGACTAGATATAAGTGCCACGCCGGCGCGCCGCCTTCACCGTGAGTTCTTGTCGACGCGTCGCCGCCGCGTGAAACATGCGGCGCGCCGTCACAACGAGACGCAACTTCCTCATTAGTTTGCCTTGTCGCTCACTCAGTCGAGTTGAATATTTCACTGAGTGAACGTGTATTGTTGTGGGGTGTTAACTGGCAGCAACTTCGACTGTTGCATTTATGGGCCGCCTCAAGCCGGGGTAGTACGACCTCACAGAATACCGGCTTGAAGTGGAAGATCTGCTTCTGCGTTTTGTCTGGTCTGCGTAAGTGCAGGAGAACCAATCCCCCCCCCCTTCCCCCCCCCTCAACATGGTAGCGGAGTTAAATGTAATACTACCCCAGGAGGGCACCAGCACCTATTCTGGGGGCGGGGGGGGGGGTCATAATTCCGCTCAAGAGGCCAAGGCGACCCCTTCCACGTGACTTTGCAACATCAGGAGACATCACTCGATCCTAAACGCCGTCCACCACCGTATCGAGACGGCGAAGCCGGCCTTGCTCATTCTGACCGAGACGCAGGTGTCCTCTCCGGCTAGGAGAGATACGAATCTCTCCTAGCCGGGGTACATATTGCAACACTCCTTTGTGCCTCGGGCTCGAGTTCGCGTATATGTACATCAGAGAGGACATCTGTTCTAGACGCCTCGGCAGTCTTGAAGGACCTGTCCCATCCTTTGGCTACGCGTAGACAGCGACGACCATAAGCATGTTTACGGGTGCCTGTATAGGTCCCATAACGGTAATGCCGAAACAGACCGATTCATCGACCACGTCCAAATGGCTATAGATTCCTTGCTACAGCAGATCTAATTCGTAGAGGTCGTGACCCTTGGCGATTGTAATGCCCACCACGCCGAATGACTCGGTTCACGTTTAACCAATCATGCGGGGAGATCTGTTCATGATTTTGTCTTGGCATATGGTCTGACACAACTGGTAACTTTGCCTACGCGGATAGTACGCCTACGCCTACGCCCATAGATGGGCGGAGGTATAGTCCAAGGGGAATGCATTGGCCGTTAGTTTGGACATTGCGAAAGCCTTCGATCGGGTTTGGCACAAAGCGCTTCTTTCGAAGCTCCCTTTCTATGGGCTTCCCGAGAAATTGTGAAATTGAATCACCAGCTTTCTTACAGATCGGAGCATCCCCTCAGTTTCAAGGGACTCTAATTGTTGTCTCTTGCCTCAGCCAGTATTGGAATCCTCGGCGTCGGCATATCGAGTGACGTGCAAGTTTCGTGGTCACTTGGAAGAGAAGGCGAAATTGGCCTTTAAAACGCTTTGCGTGCTCAGCAGAGCGGGACAGTATTTCATGCCGGCACACTACCTACAACTTTACAAGGCGCAGGTTCGGCCTCACATGGAATACTGTTCCCATCACTGGCCTGGGGCTCCCCAGGGCTTTATTAAAAATATAAAACTGTATTTGGTACCAACAATATGGTTTTCCTTAAGTTTTTTTTTTAAGAAATCTCTTTCTGATAAAAAAATATCTAAGGCCTATGGCCAGCAATACCGCGCCGCCGTTGAGGAAATTTTCAGGACACGCCGCCTTCGTGGAATTGGCCTTCGGCGCTCATATCTAGTCGTGACAAAGCATGTTTGGTACGAGTAGGATAGATCTATTGATAGACCCTTGGAACGAAAGAAAAGGGGCCTCGCTGATGCAACTTCGCCCACGTTTACATTAGTCCACGCTACGCCTCTGTTGTAAGCTGTTATTTAAAAAAAAGTCCCGCTGGGTTTTTTGCTGGTTCTTCCAAGGACAGAGGTTTTTCTTCGAACCAGTGGTAATTAATTAGTGGTAATTAAATAACAGGTTAAACAAAAGAGTGACTATCAATAAGTATTATTTACAATATATATTGTATAAAAAAGTATCTTTCTGTATAATTATGAATAATACACGAGTCACGAACTCATCCGAACGACGCACGATAAACCACGAACACGAGTTTCGGCGCCGCCGAAGGTTCGACAGATTTTTTGCCGAAAGCGAAACTATTACCGAAACTAGATTTTTTTGCCGAAACTGAAACCGAATCTTCGGTCGATCACTACTTTTTTTGTATAGCCAGATTTTTCCAAATGGGTCAAAACTGTTTTGTGGTCAATGCCAATCTTGCTCCATTTATTCAATAAAAGCAAAATTAAAAAATTTGAAAAAACCCACGACAGATGTAATAGTTGTACTCTAAAAAGGATTAAATAAACATATTGATAAACCCCCGACTAAAAAGAAGTAAGTCATGAAAGATAAAAATAAAAAGAGTTTTAGAAGGGTTGATTTACCGCGAAGTCTGTCATTATAAACAACTAATTATGTCTTTCCTTGGTCCTTCCTACCTTTGTGTACCTATTAGTTTGTTGTAGCCATAGACACAGCAATAATACAAAATATAGATACTACACCTATTCCCCTACCTATTAGGTAATATACTTATAAATCCAAAAAAACCGTCGGGGCTGCCATTGCCATCTTTGTTCCCTATTTCAATTTAGAAGAAAAGCTAAGAAATGAAGCAATTTATATCAATTAAAGACTACATTTATATACGTACTCGCCGTCATTTCAGTTAGTCACAAACTGATTAAAATGTAAAATTTTAGTTCATTTCAGGGCAGGGAGTGGTAGCCCCGACGGATTTTTTTTTGGATTTATAAGTATATTACCTAATAGGTAGGTGAATAGGTATAGTACCTATATTTTATATTATTGCTGTGTCTATCGCTACAACAAACTAATAGGTACAGAAAGGTAGGAAAGACCAGGAAGGACTAAGGAAAGACATAATTAGTTGTTTATAATGACAGACCTCGCGGTAAATCAACCCTTCTAAAAACTCTTTTTATTTTTATCTTTCGTGACTTACTTCCTTTTGGTCGGGGGTTTATCAATATGTTTATATACTATTAATTGAAATAATTTTTTTTGATAATAAATAAAAAAAATTCTTTGCACATACTTACATGCTGGGCCCGTGCCAGCTAGTTTTATCATCTGATCCACTGCTGAACATAGGCCTACCCCAAGGAATGCCACAAAGCACGGTCCTAAGCTACCTTTTTTTTATAGGATAAGTGTAACAAACGAGCACACAGTCCACCTGATGGTAAGTGCTTGCTGTGGTATATATACATCTACATCTATCCTCGACTACGAATCAAAATGCAGATACGTTGTCACCCGTGAGGACTAAGATGGAATGCCTCTTTTCCAGTAAAAAGGGTCTCCGGTTCTCTACACTCACCATACGAAACACTGCAGCGTTAAGCTGCTATTTTACGCTGGTATTCTGTGAGAGCGTGGTCCTTCCCCGGTCGAGCCGACCCATTCGTGCTACAACTATACTACTAATATAGCTGCAGCATGGCTCTACCACGTATAATATACCTGCATAGTTTTATATGCCTATGTGATAAATATAACAGCAAACGTAAAACCACCGAGATACCGAATCCGTCTATTATTACTGTAATTATAACATGATAGTGCACGCTTTCACAGTTGTTATAACTAACACCATGTATCCGTTTTTTGTTTCAGATATACCGGTTATGTTTTCGGTAATTTTGACGGTGCCTTCAATCGCTGGCGTCCTTTACCTATTAATATGGCAAGTAGTGGTTCTACGAATTGAGTATATCTGGTGTACTTTGATGCTTACTATACAAGTATTAGAGTTTATATTTGCATCCATGTTTATAGCGACTATGTGTCGTGGTCAATCATATGACTGATGCACTTTTTGCACCAGCACTTCATGAATTGTATGGAAAATCAAGTATTTTATAAATATGCTGTAGCTAAAATATTTTTAAATAAGTATTGCTGTTAATTGCAAACGTGTTGTGTGGTCTTATAGCCTTGTGTTGATTAAACCAAAGTAATAAGATATTTGTACATATAAAAATATTTATTGATATACATATAGAACAAGATATAGAAATATAACTACTAACTAACTAATTATTTATCATGTTTTAGAAATTTGAATATTTGTAAATGTTAATAAGACAAGAAAAACTACCATTATAAAGCACTATACCAAATATGTGAGTGTGAAATGAGTGTGTAGTAAAAGGATAAATTAACATATTTTATACATCCGACGATATATTTTTTGTTCTTTTTTTGAAATTAAAATGACTGAACGGACCATGTACAGCGGAGAGTACATATTATTTACGTTATCTTTGGAAGATGTGCACAAGATGAGGGAGTGAAGTGAGGATATCGCTATAGCAGACGGCGAAACTGGCACTTAAGAAAATATTTCTTTTATTTATTTTTTAATTCTTCAGTGAAGACTACTTAATAAAGTACTAAAACAATTGTTCTAAAATTAATCATAGTCTCGGACAAATCAACATAATTTTAGTCAGGTGAATAAAATGATGTTATTCTTCAATTTGCTTCCAAATGTGAAATAAATGGAGAAGTGGTAAATATTCTCTTTCTGCTCATACCTATAGCTAGAAAGTGATAAAAATGACAATTTAAAAGCACATGTGTTATTAAATATATTTTTTTATATATTTCTTGTTTGTCAATATTATTTGTGTTACTAAGAGATCTTAGATTAGAGAAGTAAAGGTATGTAGGTATATCTTATGAAACTCACTAAAAATATGTTCGAGCTCTGTAATAATAATATTATATTATAGTTATTATTACATGTATACATTTCACAGAGGTATGTCAAATTCTACATTGGTCAAAAACGTAATTCGCCAAATTCTTAATTCAATTCTAAAAAAGAAAACACTGCGGTGCTGCCAGTGAGGGAAAATAGAAACGTTATCGTTATTAATTATAAATTAAACTAAAGTAGGTATGTAATAGTTTATTTGACAATATTTTTTAGATCGAACGAACACTAATTGTTCATGCATTCCGCTCAAATGCTTCGACTTTTATCGACTTTGCGTAAATGTTTGTTCTCTTTAATAGTGTTATTCATTTTATTATTTAATATTAAGATTCATTGAGTAAGCTTCTGTTAACGCATCTCGAAATACAAATAATTTTATCTATTTGAGACATTTAAACTAAAAGGATCCTCAATAGTACGTAATCATCTCCATCTTTCCGTTTCTATGAAATCAAAATTTCCCGTCTGCGTTAAATTGTTGATGGTAATAACATTAAAATAAATTATTTGCAAATACTAATTAAAACAAATTCTCAATATCTTGGAATACGTATCAATACTATAGATACGTAGGTGATATTAGACAACCTGTGAACGTCATAGTTCATCATCTACGTTTCTAGTCATCTTTTTTCCCGTTTAACTGGTTTGAAATATTTGTGCAAGCAGCTAAAGTTTACATACGCGCACCACATTCGCATCCGCAAAGATTTAATAGATTTTGACATCAATATTTCTTTTATTATTAAAAATAACATAGCGAAAGTAACAATTTAGTAAGTAGAGACTGAACGCTTATTTTTAATATACTTAATATATTATATAAAACAATTTAAGTGTTCAAAGAGCCAGAGACCTGACGTAGGTATCGCCTATTCGAAAGTTTGACAAATTACGAAATTTACAAATGTAGGTTTTGGCCAGTGTAGGATCCTTATCAAAATTTAATGAATGTCTGCGAAGTCCATTTATATCAGGGGTACCCAACAAGTCGATCGCAAACTGCCACAAAGTCAATTTTGGTCGACCGCTAGCGAAGTCTTAACTTAAAAACCGATGAGACAACTTTTCCCCCCAAAGGCTAACCAACGGGACCCTATTACTAAGCCTCCGCTGTACGTCCGTCCGTCTGTCTGTCTGTCTGTCAGCGGGCTGTCCGTACTCATGATCCGTAATAGGTAGACATAGAATAAAAATAAATTAAAAATTAAAGGGAGCCCCCTACTAGCAACGTGTTTTACGATGGTACGGAACACTTCATCACGCACTTATCCGGTTTTCATTTTATATATGTAATAACTTTTGACGACTGTGAGCCTCTTCTGCTCAGCACTTCATTAAAAATATTTAAATATTTATTCTCGCTATCTTGTAAAAATGTTACATAAGTAATGTGTTGGTATTATTTTAAAAATATGTTATATTTCGTAATTATTGAAGAAGCATCTGCATATGGATTTGCATATGAAAATCTCAAAGATTTTCTTAAGAATAAATCAAACCTAATCATAAAATAATATACATTTCAGTCCTAAAGTGTTATCTTTCTAATATTAATGGCAAAAATTAGATAATTAAATCATTAATTAATAATTTTTACACCTACTAGGTTGTCCAATAGTAATTTGTTAATCCTGTCCTTAAAACATAAGTGATAATGTGGCCTTTTCGTAGAACTTATACAGCATAGTTAATCAAAAATCTTCCATTGTGAATTAGGATCCTTGACATTAAAAGATTTATACAATGTTTATAAAATAATAGGTTTATACAACATTTTAATATACGCATGTTATTGAAAACGCAAAAAGAATAATAATAAATATTTTATTAATTAAATATAGCCAAAGTATAAACATATTCTAGTCCATTGATGTACCTATAATTTAAAACAAATATATTACACTATTTTAATGTTTGAATTAGTTGTTTTATTTCTCTCTCGAAATTTTATGTACAATATGTAATAACTACAATAAATATTAAAGATAACAAAATTTACTTATTTTTAAATAATTTTTGATAGATAACTTTTCTGACCGATGAAGATCCAAATCAAACTGCGAAAAATAACTGCCTGTATTTTACCGCCAATGAAAAAAAAGCCCATGGAATCATTTCTTAAATCAAGTAAAAGCAGTATGTAGTGCTAATAATAGGGCATTTCTTATAATTTTTAAAACATCAAAAAAAATGTCGAAGTGCATCGTGCCTCCCTAGTATCTTTAGTAGATTTTTTCTCACATGTACTTAACTTATAAATAAATAATACTCTAACCCTTTCTATCAAGCATTACGTGCATTAGTAGATTTTAGCATTTTTTTGACATGACAAAATTTACCAAAAATATAATAGCAGGCGAGTGTTGTTTAAAATTAGACAATCTTTACCTATATTCGCCTTTTTCACCAAGATTTTCTCAGTCAAAACACAGCTATGAATAAAAAAAATAATGTCTATGGGCCACAGCATCCACTTACCATCAGGTGGACTGTGTGCTCGTTTGTCACCTGTGTTTGTCACTCTTATTCTATAACAAAAAACTTAGAAATTTTCGTCAATTTAACGGTAAAATGCCTCACAATAATTTTAGCTGTGTTATCCATAATATGCACTTTTGACGTTTTTTTTTTCAAAAATTATAAAAATATTGGATCTCTAAACAGTATTGGCAACATCAGATCTTAGGTATTAAATAAGTAGTAGACAGCCCTACTTCACCGTTCTATGTCTAGGGCTATAGGGCAACCAGGGCCTGGAATTTAATCCTGTTGCAAATGGTTAAAGTTATGATTTTTGACAAAAGTTCAATCATCAGCCAGCATCCCGGCAATAAAACTCAATAGGTGGTAATAACGTTTTACTTCCTAATTAATTAAACATCTATTTCTACTTTTAATTATAGTGACTATAGCAAATAGCAACAGCTTTCAAAATGTGGTTCCACAAAAAGTGGTTTATTTAGCTACACCTGGGCAATTTTTGTCTGTCTGTGCTTGTTTGTCCAGGCTAATCTTGGGAATGGCGAAACCGATTATAATGAAACATCACAAACAGATAGACAGCATATTTTATCCGAAAAACTTGAGATTTTTTTAATAAATGATAAAATAATACAAATTCTACCCAGGCAAAGCCAGGGTGGGTTGCTTGTTATCAATAAATATTAATGTCAATTAAAGTCAATAAAAAATTGAATTCAACAAAATAGAAATGTATTAAGTTTTATATTCTGCCTGTAAGTATAATGGTAAGCGACCTTTTGCCATCTTGCTTCTTTTATGAGCTCTTATTTCATGCCTCAATAATGCTTTTCTTGTTCCAAACCTATTTTCACATATCCTACATGCAAAATCTTTAATACCTGCATGATCACTTTTAAAATGTAATTCCATGTCATGTTTCAGGTAGAATCCTCGAGCACATTCTATGCATTTCAATGGCTTATTTTTTTTGTGTGTTAATAAATGTCTATTTAAGTTGCTACGGGTCAAGAAACATAATTGACATTTATCACAAGAAAAAGGTTTGTTTCCTGTGTGGGTTCTCATGTGCAACTTAAGAGATTCCATAAAACGCCCACGGTATGGGCATAATTTGCAATGGTATGGTAAAACAAAACTGTGTAGTTGAAGATGCCTGACTAGATTATCTTTACGGTAAAGTTTACCACATATATGACAAACAAGATGAGAAGTGGTTTTGTGACGGGCTAAATGTTTCTTAAACAAATGAGGAGTAAGTAATCCATAACAAATGGGGCACTGGACTCGTATACTTCTATGCTCTTTAGAATTTTTATGCTGTGTGTATGTGCTCAAACTGTGAAAGGATTGCTTACAAGTTTTGCAGCTAAATAACTTCTTGCCTAAATCTTGTGATTCTTTATTTACACTACCAATATTTTCTGAAATTGACTCTTTAATTCCATTATCTAATAATCCTTGCTGCATCATTAAATCTGATTTTAATGCCTTTTCCCTGAATGTAACGGCGAATTGCAGAAATGAGTAACAACATTCACATACATATTTAGAAAAAGAATCAGTTTTCTTAATTTTAATCCCACCAAACAGCTGTAAGGATGCTGAAATATCGGGCAGTGTTGGACTGCCATAAATTGGTTTAGTGCCTCTTTCCAAACAGACTCTGCATTTATGAACAGTATCAGGCGGAATTAAATAATTAGTTTTCAAGTTGTTTGGCTGCAGCAATTTTTCGGTTTTCGATAAGTTTTCTACAAAGCGTCTTTGTTGTAATATTTTAAGTTTGAAATATGCCGAAGCCATGAAAACCAATTGCTCTTATTCCAAAAAGCTAGGATAGCTTCTCTTTACTTACGTAGCTGATTATAATTATTTTCTTTGATGTTTGTTTAGTTTAAAGTCTAAAATAACCTATTACTGATTGGCATAGGACATATAGTCGCAGTGCTGCCACTTGTCAGTTTAACAAATCTGTACTGTTAATGTAAAAAATCTGTATAATATCTGTAGAAAGGAATCAAAGAAAATCTGTATGAATCTGTGCTGCTAGTGTAAAAAATCTGTACAATATCTGTAGAAAGAAATCAAAGTAAAAGATTTTGACCTATGTAAGTTGAGGGAAGATGTGATAATAAAAAAGCAATTAAAATTATAGAAATATTTATTTAGATTTATTTTATTTATTCTGGAATGGCGCCATTCATTGTCATTGGACCTGCAATTTATTTTCCGATACTAATTGTGGAAACTTTTGTGATTTGTGCAGAAGTGAGGAAGGAGTGTTGCGTTGCTTAATTTTATATGGATTTAAAAAAGTTAAATCTCTTATAATGTCATTATTAAAATTATAACGACGTTTAATGTGTTTGGATCCTTCTATAAAAACATTAAGGCAGCGTGGCCGAAATATGTTTACGTCACTTGGGAACAGGATGGAACAGAATTTTGGTGCTTTAATGTTTTATAATGACGTGCCAAATCATTTTAACCTCCGCTGGAGACAGCAAGATCTTGTAAAACAAAATTCGCAGAAAGCATATTCCGCTCCTTTTTGACTTGGCATTAGCCAATCTTTAAAGTAACTCTCTTCTATTCAGCTTTAGTTATACGTTTGAGCTTTACGGGGTTTCTTACTGGCCATTGTCCACATAAATATTAAAAAATACCTACTTCACTTTATTTTCACTTGATTCGCGCCTTCGTTCGTGTGTATCAAAACAAACAAACTATGAAACTGTTTCATTGGATATGCGATCCGTATAGCGTAGTCACTGTCACACGAATGGGCCGAACTGGTATAAGTTTATTTATAATTCGAGGGACTCCCCGATAACAAGCAAGAATAGATTTTTTACGCCAGTCAGTATTGCTAGCTTTGATTATTATTAAGCCTCTTACACACAGGCGCTATATTATCGAGTAGACTGATGAGATGAAAGTCGATCCTAGAAAGTATTTATAGACAAAAAGTACAAATTTCAAAAATCTGTATAAAAGTAGTATTAAATCTGTTATCTGTAATGAGGTTCAAAAATCTGTATGAACACAGATAAATCTGTAAATATGGCAGCACTGTATAGTCGTATTTTTAATTAGACGAAGCCAACTGACAGTATTTTTTTTTTTGGAGTTTATGGCCTGGCATCTAGACCTTTAGGCCAAGTCTTGAGTAAAGCCAACTGACAGTAGCTAATGTCCAGTGTTGCCAACTCAACTACTTCAAAATATGCTAGACTGGTGTAAAAAATATGCCAAAAATATGCTTACCTTCTCTAAAAAATGCCAAAAAAAATGCCAACATAATTAAGAAGTATCAGTATTTATTGAGAAATTAAATCAAGGGAATAGAATATTAAGGTCTTCATCTTCATCAACATCAGCTGATGTGGAAGGCTGAGAGCCGGAGTCGTAATACTCTTTGGTTCCGATACTGCGTAGTACATTGTCTGGAACAGTGTAAGAGTAACAGCACTTTCCTGCTCTTTTTAGGCCGAACCTAACGTACAAAATGGCATTCAGGGTTCTCACCGCCAAACGGTTTCGGAGTTTTGTTTTTACCAGACTCATTTGGCTGAATACACGTTCAACGTCCGCATTTGAATGTGGCAATGATATAAGAGACATTGCAAACTCACATAACTCTGCAAAGGGGTTATTATCAGCTGCATCTTTATATTGCATGACTTCATTCCAGAACTTTACTGTGGAAGTCAAGGATTCCCATTTAATGTGAACTATATTTCTCCATTGAGATACCAGTTTTTCAATCATAGGTGCATTAACTCGGAACTCTTGGGCTATTTCGACAATGGATGGCTTAACTACTTTTAAAGTCTCTTGAACTGAAAACATGGATATCTTCTGAAGTATTTTAAAATTAACCGGTAATCTCGAACGTAGTTCTGTCACAAGTTTCAGTGTGAAATTATTACAACGTTGGCGTAAATAGTTTGCTGCATTAGGCTGAAGATTGTATTCAAGTAATTTGGTCTCAAAAGCATATCCCATGTATGGTTTCGGATCTAAATAGCTTTCTATGTCTTCTGTTAAAATATCTACCCTTGCCGTTGGGTTCAGAATACGCCGACCTATCGATTCCACTAAGCCAATCAAATCATTGTACAATCTTGTTGGGTCAACATCGTTACTTTCAAACAACTTGTTTACCACTTGAACTTCCTGTAAGATAGGTCTTATGTATAATAAGTACAAATGATTCTGTGGATCATTATACATGTTATATAGTATTTCTGCCGTATAGCAGTGTTCATCTCGCCTGGCAATTTCAAACAGGGTTTTTAATTCTATCCATTGATCAAGAATACGGCAGACCGCTGGTTCAATTGATATCCATCGGGTATTGCACATCTGTGGAATTGTCAATGGAACGGAGCCACCGTTGATCGTTTGAAACATGTTTTTGTAAAAGAGTCTTCGGTTTGATGAATGGCTAAACCAGTTATAGGTTTCTCTTATAAGAAATTCAACATTTCTTGGTAGGGTTTCTGCTGAAGCATGAGACATAGCCAACTGTAACGAATGACACACGCAGCGGACTAACACTAAATTGTCATTACCAGTTGCATTTTTCAACAATGCGTGCACTCCACTGTTAGTTCCTGTCATGACCGAAGCGTTATCCGTGCCGATACCGATCAATTTCTTTAAATTTATTTTTATTTCTGCCAACAATCCTTTAATGCCGTTCACTATGCTGACTGCAGTTCCGTCTTCAATCTCAACTAATCCCAAGAATGTGGAAATTATCTTTTTTAATGATCGGCTGAAATATCTTATCGAAACACCAAGCATTTTAAGTACCAATATATCTGTCGATTCATCGATTAAGAGACTGTACTCCTGATCTCCTAAATCTGTCACAATTTCTTGAATGAAGTGTGGTGCCAAAACATTTTTAATAATATTCGTGCATTTGGTTCGATGTAACTTGATGTCGCTGTATTTGCTGTCGACAAATCGGTATTTGCATAGTTCCGATAAATGATCTACAGCCATAATTGCACAGTGCTCGCAAACAAACAAAGCCAGCGAAGATTCTGCTTTCTGGGTATTCAGATCTTTTTTTACTTTAGGGAAGTTAATTTTTTTTTGACTCTTCATTGGCTCTATTGCTTTTCTGTGCTTTGCTGATGAAATATGTAGCCTCAAAACAGACAATTTTGCAATCATTTCGCATTTACAATACTTACAGTACGCTTTCGAAGTATCGTTTTCAACGGGCTGCAACCACTCTTTAAAGTCTGCCATTTTCTCCCAGTCTGCCCGGTAATGTTGACTATACTTAGGCACCATAATAAAAATATCAAATTATAAAAAAGGAACACGAAAACACGGATAAGACGAGACGACGATATGAGTGAGTCCACATCCACAACAATAAACAATGTTTTTGACAGAAAGCGACGTAGGCGCTGGGGAATGGATAATAGTAAGGGAATTCTATCCCATAGACATCACCCTCACAAAACTGACCACTCTCTAGAAAGAGACAAAGTGAATACGCGGCCAATACATGTGTATTTTCTGCAAGGCGCAGGTAAGGCGTAGAAAGAGACAATAACTGGCGGCACATTCGCTTTGTCTCTCTTGTACTTCGTCCATATTTACTTTATACCTGAATAAGGGCTCAGTCCATTCTCTATGTCTAAGGGGAATCCCGTAGCACAGAGAATATTATATTCGCTTCAAAAAAGGGTTGCCATGCTAGTGAATCACTAGTAGTGAAGTGGGAAATTGATTGAGGTAGGTATCGATATCAAATTTTATTTCAAGAAAGATTGTAATTTACATTCTTTTCATGTTTTATAAGAATATGCTGAAATAATATGCTATATGCTAAAAGCAAAAAAAATATGCTAAACAAGAAGAAAATATGTCAAATTTAGCATATAATATGCTAAATTGGCAACACTACTAATGTCACTTTGTAAAATAATGTTGCCATATTTAAAGTAATAGTGATGCGTTCTGTTCTCGTTCAATCAGATGAATGAACAATGAGTGTGTATAGTTAATCATTTCAAACTATAAAAGAATATTATTTCTATTTTACAATAAAATTGTATAAAAGTGCTCTGATATAAGTTACTAGTAGTATGTAACTACAATCAGTTTTTTGAGGTTTTACTACAAAGCGCGGCGCGGCGACTACTGCCAACACCGATCAACGCAGCGCGCGTCGGTCGCCATTTTGTTTGTTATTCGGCTTCTAACCTCTGGTCTGATAGCACGAATGTTTTTTCTGCGCTAACGCTGTTTAGTTATTGTTTTTGTTAAGTTTTTCGTTACGTTGTGTTTGTGGTAATTGTTGTGTTTATTTGTTGCTATATTGTTTCGTACAAATGATATGGATCCTCAACCAAGCACGTCAAGCCAAAGCTTGTCTCCAAGAAAGAAGAGACCACGGATTGCTTTAAGCGTTACCGAAAAACTTATGATACAAAACGTCTACAAACACGTATTTGAGGAAAAAGCTGCTTCACTATTACCTATTGAGGCCCCCGAAAAAAAAGAATGTGTTTCGAAAACAGCTGACATTTTGGGAATTGGTGTGACCTCAGTTTACAGTGTGTTAAAAGAATGCAAAGAAAATGAACAATTTAAGTCTCCCGAGAAACGTGGACCGAAACACAGTTTCAAAGATAAATTAGACGATTTTACTTTTGCCGCTATAAGGCGAAAAGTACATAATTTTTTTTATGCAAATGAGTCACCCACCATTATAAAGGTAACTTAAACTTTATTCCTTCTACTGCATTATATTCTGTGTCCACCATAATGTTCTTTGTAAAACCAAAGTATTAGATTGCGTAGACTTCCTTACTCAAAACATATTTTTATTACTTTACAGATTCTTAAGGTTGTCAATGAAGACCCAGACTTACCCAATTTTTCTTGGAGTACATTAAGAAATGTTATGAAACATTTAAATTTCAAATATGTCACAAAATCAAGACACAGCATTTTAATTGACAGACAGGACATTATTCTATGGCGCCAGCGATACCTTCGAAAAATTAAAGAGTATCGAAGGGAAGGAAGGTATATTTATTACCAAGATGAAACCTGGATCAACGAAGGTAATTACAATTTTCTGTTTTCTTTACATTAAATTGTACTTTCAATAATTAATTGATATTTTTCACTGTCTTGAAGGTCATGCACCGAAGAAGGCATGGATTGACCAGACAGTGTTATCGTCCCGCCAGGCCTTCCTAGATGGCTTGACCACTGGCTTAAAACAGCCTTCAGGAAAGGGCAAACGATTAATTATCGGCCATATAGGCGGGGAAGAAGGATTCGTAGAAGACAGCTTATTAATATTTGAAGCCAAAAAAAATAAAGAAGATTATCATCAAGAGATGAATGCCGATTCCTTTGAGAAGTGGTTTAGGGGGGTCTTGCCAAAACTAAAACCAAATTCCGTAGTAGTGATGGATAATGCCCCCTACCACTCCAGGAAACTAGAATCGCTGCCTAAAATGTCTTGGACTAAACCTAGAATACTAGAGTGGCTAACGAGCAAAAATATTTCATTCGAAGCAACAATGGTTAAAGCTACTCTTATAGACATTGTACGGCAGCACAAGCAAGAACATTGCGATAAGTATGTTGTGGACGAGATGGCAGCGCAGCATGGGATAATTGTTTTACGTCTGCCCCCATACCACTGTGAGCTCAATCCCATTGAGTTGGTATGGGCGCAGGCTAAAGGATATGTTGCAAGAAATAACAAAACCTTCAAAATGACAGAAGTAAAAAAACTTTTTGAAGAAGGACTTCAACATATCACACCTGAAAAATGGAATAGCTGCGTGTCTCATATAATTAAAAAAGAAGACAAAATGTATGGTCTCGACCACATGATTGACAATGTTACTGACAGATTTTTAATTAATGTCACCGAAAGCGATAGTGATGATTTTTTATCTGATAATGAATAAAAACAAATTATGTAATAAGCGATTTTTTTATTCTCATTACCTACCTATAATTGTTATATTTTATACATCTATAGTTTCAACTACATGATGTATTGAAAATAGGACAGTCTTACAAGTTTCCTCGCAATATTTTCCTTAATGTTTAAAACACTCGGTATTCAGTATAGGTAGATATTATAGGAACATAGTCGTCGAAAACTCGTTGGTATGTACAAAGCACGACTAAAATTCGAACCCCGTACCCGATATCGGCAGTTCAGCACACTAACTATTCACTAGACAATCGAGGCAATTTCATTAATTCAGGAGTTTTTCAATCATTCACTTTGTCACAACACTATTTTTATTTCATCAAAAACTGACAACACAGTAAACGTCAGTTGACTTCGTCTAATTAAAAATACGACTATAGTAAATCATTTTCATAACATAATATGTGTCGGCAGAATGTCGAAGGTCTTTATAAATGTAAATTAATTTTCATACTCTAGCAGATAAGTGTTCAATATAGTCTTGAAATGTTAAATTACTGTCAATTATTATGCCAAGATACTTAAATAGAAGTAATTTAATTGTTTTGGTTGTAGCTAAATACTCTTTGAAACACAAAGCGCGCACACAACGAACGAATCGCGCTCTTACTCTTTTGCTGACTCACTTGATCCGTTCATATACAGCAGCCCAAACTCGAGTAAGGCCGGCCACATACACACGGAATTCCGTTTCGAGATTCCGTTTCGATATTCCGATTCGGAATCCCGAACGCAGCAAGTCCATATAAAATCTATGACCCGCCACACACGTACGGTAGTTTTCCGTTCGATATTTTGCGGGCAAAACGGGATTCCGTTTGAATTCCGAAACGGAATCTCGAAACGGAATTCCGTATGTATATGGCGGGCCTTAGGGAGATCCAACTCGAGTTGACTCTTGACTCTTCACTATATTTATCTATAGTGTTGCTATATAGTTATAGCTTGTGATGCAATCACCAATCAGTTCAATCAGACAAGATCCCCTTTAGGTATATATATTATGTTCTGTGGACAAGATAGAATTAGAATAATAATCCAAAAAACGAAGTAATTTATATTGGTTGGTCCTTGAGTGAGTTTATTAATCCGAAAGAGTATAAAAATGGTAAGACTTTCCATTGACGTCCGTCGAGTTGGGATTGATATTTTTTTTTTACAGAAAGTTTACATTATTATAAGCATACACGCAAAGTTTCAACATGCGGGGACACGTAATTTTTGAGAAAAAATATATTAAAAATCAACTACTTTTGCAATATTTATGTCAATACCTACCGTAAAACTGACGCCATTTTTTTATCTATGGTAATATTTATTTTATCTATGGTAGGGATTAGACACACGGGCAGTATAGTGCCACCAACTTATCTGTGAACTGACAGCTTGGCGCTTCTGCGCTGAAGTGTTGCCAGTTCGGGAATATTCCCATCTAAGGGTCTTATATTTCTACATAGAATCCACATACTAGGGTAATAAATTAGTCACGGAATAAAAAGACTAGAACACAGATTTAACAGATATATGTCCAAGAACAAGAAGAAACAAAAATATCATAATTGAACAATTTAAACTTTAATTAAATAATATGCCTTTATGTCTTTTTACCGGGCGTTGTAATTTGCGTTCCTGTGGTTTATGCGGTTTCCGGTTCTTTAACTATTTTGGAAATGAATCCTTGACTAACATCTGAAAAAGAAATGAATTGCATTAACCAATCCATTTATCGGAAATACGAAAGGAAGGAACAAAACATAGCAATACTGACCTGTAGCAGCTGATACTCTTTTATAGACCTGATTGAAAGGCATTATCGGTGTTTACCCTCGAGCTTGTTGCTCACAAAAGTTTAATAGGTACTTATAAAATAATATTATTTCGGGCATCACTTTTAATGGTTTTCGGCATTTTTTATTTTTCTATAAACTCTCAAAACAATGACGTATCGAGTGACATTTGATTTAATGGCGGCTGTACTTCACAATTTTGCCGCAGCTGTCAGTTCACAGATAAGTTGGTGGGACTATAATCTTCATAGAGAAAATATTGGACGTAGGAAATGTCATTGCAAAATGATATGTGACAGTTAACATCCCCCCCTCCCTCGCCCCTCGACATCCCTTCGAAGCACAGATTAACTAGTAGATTCTACACGAATCTTCTAAGTACAGACTAACTAGGAGATCGGTCGCAGCTCGCAGCCATTTCGGTAGAATCTACTAATTAGTCTCTACATATTTATTTATCTATGATTAGTCTGTGGCAGCCATATTGCTTTTTTTCCGTAATCAATGTCACTGTGTGACATTACTGATATACTGATAAAAAAAAATCCGTTTGGTTGCGTTAATTTATTTCCGCCCTTAGTTTGCATTTTTCTTTGCATTTACTTGTATTTTATATCTCTCGATATGTATTAGGTACGAATTTCCATTGACGTCAGTGGAGGATAGGGATGTCGATTCTTTCCGAAAAAGATCGAGTTTTTGAATAGATTCGAATTGTAAGCTGATGTATCGATTCCAAAAAAATCGATTTCTAAAATATCGATATTTTTTTCATGTTTGCATTTATAATGTAAATATAAATCCATTTTATGAGAAAAAAATCCCCTTCATCATAAAAAAAATAAGGGGACTGATTCATAAGGATTTCTGTATCTATTTTGAGACTGCTACGTCTCCGGCGCTGCGGGAAGAGCAACCTCTACGCCTTAGCGTAACAAATCGTAGGCATCGGACGAGCCGGAGCGGATTTTTTGTGAACATCAGCTTACGATTTGAATCGATTTAAAAATCGACCTTTTTCGGAAAGAATCGACATCCCTATTGACGTCGACAATGACATTACAAAATGGCGCCAGTTTATTAGCAGATTAGACATAAACATTGCAAGAATAATTGATTTTCAATTATTCTTTTCTCAAAAATTACGCGTTTCCGTATATTGAGACTTTGTGTGTGTGCTTATAATAGTGTAATCTTTCTGTAAAAATACGTATCAACACCAAACTCCACTGACGTCAATGGAAAGCTAAGCCGTGATCTTTCCCACTTGCAAGTCTGTCACAAACATTTTGAATCTCGTTTTGTTACTGGAAAAATCACATATTATAAAGATTATAAATTTATACAACGCTGTTCCTGGAATCTGAGCTCAGCACTGGCATTCCATTAAACCGTTCGGAGGGCATTCGTAAGTTGATATTATTTTAATTAATAGCTTTTCTATACAAAATAAAACTATGCTATGTATGTACTATGAACTTTAGTTTTTGTTTGGAAATTTAACAAAATCTGTTCTTTTTTTACTAGAAAATGTGAATGCTCCTGATGACCATCAGCATGCGATGAAAAGGCATTATGACCACACCTATTTTAAAACAGAAGTGTTAGAATCATACCCACACATGATGCCAATAAACACAGGTAATTAGCTTAAAAAACCATTAATTTTTTTAGTTGTTACTTTGCAACCAATAACCATTAGAAAGTATTTTTATTTTCTATAAATGACGGATATAATGAACATAATATATTCTCGTCTATACTTAATTCTGTGATCTATAAATTTATGTTAAATTGTTTTTGCAGAAATGCAGCCGTCTGCATCCAAAGTAAGGATTATGGACTTCACAATTCCCAAGGACCTTCAAGCTGAAGGAAGTTTCCAAGAAAAAGGTTAGCAATTATTATTAAAATTACCTACATTTTTAATAATAATTAATTATATTAAAAAAGGTAGGTAGGTTTTTGCATTTATGTAATATTGACACGTTAAATGAAAAGTCATCAGTGGGTGTACCCATAGTGCACTAGGTGGCAGTTGTACACTATTTTAAACTTATAGTATCAAAATTTTCACCACTTTTATCTTATTTGGTAGCTTTAGCAAATTTATTATAATTAATATTAAGTAGGTAGGATGTCATATACATCGGTTCATAATGACTTATTTCAAATCAACATATTTTTTATAAAATTTAAGTAATCAAGGGGGCGTTCAAGTATTACGTAACGCAATTTTTGAAGATTTTTGACCCTCCCGCCCCCCTATGTAACGCGCCGTAACGTTTATCTGGACCCCCCCTCCCCCTCCCTAAACGTTACATAACACCCAAGTCACCATTTTTAACTAAAAGTCACAATTATGTTGTGCAAAGTACCGGAATGTCGCTAAAATAACATTGTTATTGTTTTAATCGCGTTTGCGGTAATAATAAATAAAACAAGAGATAAGAAATCTCTTAAAAACCGTAATAAATGTGTATATCGTTTATTTTATTTATTCATATTGTTATTTATTAAATAATCACACATAATGTAATAAACGTTTGCTTAAGTTTTAAATATGTTAAAATGGGCTAAAATTCGTCCTAATAAACTTTTACTGCTAACTTTACATTTAATTACGCCGTTTTTCTGACTTGGCCCTTTCCTCACATACATTTTTGGCTAAATCCACCAAGGTCTTCTCATGCATTCTCCTGTTTTAGCTTTTTTTTACTAATAAACTATTAAAATAAAATAACATATTTATTTTAACCTTTGGCAATGCAATGGAAACCTAACTGATATAAAACATTTTAGTCAAAATAAAATTGTATATGTGGCGGCGCTGTCGTCGAGCCACAAGCGAAACACGTTGAAGCCTAAATAGCGCTAACAAAGTTCCGAAGTTAAAGCAGCATAATATATAGAATAGCTCCGAACTAACCAATCATCGGACCAACAAACCTTCGGAAACTACACCTTCAAACCTTCATCATCTTCAAGTACCACATTCATTCGCTCCCGAGCTGATATTGTCTGCAGTCTTCACATTCTGCAAGCCATCTAGCTTAACAAAGGTTCATCGCAGCACTGGAATAATAATGCTTCCTGTTCCTTCAAGCTACTCTCTGCGCTACAGTGTTCGGCACGGCTCTGAGCCTTACCACTCACCTCTGCTTCAAGGCACTCTTGCAGATTACTTGCCTTCTTCTCGACTCACCGCAGACTACAAGGCAATTCCCTGGCACTTGCAAATTCGTCGACATCTAGACTGCACTATCGACCTCCGGTCTGAGCAAGGGGCTGATGTGGCGGCGCTGTCGTCGAGCCACAAGCGAAACACGTCGAAGCCTAAATAGCGCTAACAAAGTTCCGAAGTTAAAGCAGCATAATATAGAATAGCTCCGAACTAACCAATCATCGGAGCGTTGGCCGCTTTCCGGGCAGCACACCTTGCCCGGCGGGAGATCTCCCCTTTTCCTTCCTACGGCCACATATTCTTAGCTAAAAATTTAAAATAAAAACAGCCATAATTAAAATACGTAGGTGTGTAAAAAAGATCAATTTAATTGGAGTTACTATTCCTCTGTCCACGGGTTTGCCGGCCACTCAGACTCTTTCATTACTGGCATCCGGAGAGCAGACGGAGCGGATTCCGGAATTGTTAAACCACTTGCATCAACTTCGTCTTCGTCAAGCCAATCGGCATACTCAGACAATGTTTCACAGCATCGCACAATGCAGAGAAGCTCATTTGCCCTTCTGGCAGCAGTCGCTGTGGCTGTACTCTATTTTTGCGACGGTCTTGGGCAGTCTTGTCATGCACGTAACGACTGTGCATTTGTACACTCTTGTGAGATGTGAAATAGATCCCACATGTTGCACATATTCTGTTCTTGAGGTCAGATTGTACTGATGGGCAAAATAAATAATATAATAAAAAAAATAAAATTGGGCAAGGTGGCAGCAGGAAAGTATTTGGAAAGACAGATTTCAATGCACTCCTGCAGCGGGAACAGCAAGATTCATCCGCGCATTTAATCACTTGTAAGAAATATTGCGATTCACGAACGTGAGCCCTATACCATGCCAGATTAGGTTCTGCTGGATTCTGCAAGCTATCATCCGGCTTTCAATATTCCGCCGAAACATCATAGCTGTCAATTTTCATTTCCCTCCAGATCTTAGCAAGTGTCTCTCCAGCGTGCTGAAAATTGAGTTTTCCAAATCATCATGATTACAGCCTTTCATAAGTCCACTGCTGAACATAGGCCTCCCCAAGGAATACCATAAAACACGATCCCGAGCCACCTGCATCCATCGACTACCTGCATCCATCGACTACCTGCATATCCTACCAGGTCGTCACTCCATCTAGTGGGAGATCGCCCTACACTTCGCCTCAAAGAACTGACGAAGCGACAAGCTTCTGTGCAAATCTAAATAAATCTGTGTTCAGCAGTCGCATTTTTTTTATAGTTGAGGGGGCAAACGAACATGTGGATCACCTGATGGTAAGTGACTACCACCGCCCATGAACAACTGCAACACCAGGGGAACCAGGGGAATTGCAGTTGCAGGCCTTTTAAAAAGGAGTAGACTCTTTTCTTGATGGTCACTAATTCGTATCGGTCTGGAAAAATCGCTGATGGTAATCGATTCCACAAGGAAGTTGTGCGAGGAAGAAAACATCTTCTAAATCGCACAGTGGTGGACCGCCAATCATCCAGATGGTGTGGGTGATATCGGAAGTTCTGCCGCGATGTGCGTTCGTGAAATTGCCACTAAATTTTAAGAGAGGTCAGAGCAAGGAACGAAAAAAGCAAAAGGTGCTTGGCTTTGAATTTTAGCCATTGTACACACACCAGACATGTTGCGGCATTATCATACTACGGCAAGAACCCTCTTCAGACCGTTTTTCCAATAGATAATTTTCCAAAAAATTGTGCCAGAGAAATATTAGTACGTATTAGAAATCGCACCAGGATTCAACCGAGGCAGCTATTCTTTTGATTTTGAAGTAAATACATCTATATGTTTCGAACTCAATGCCAACACGCAGCGTATGCCTTCAACAGTATGATCCTGCTGCGGCTCCCGCGGCGGCCGCGCCTCGCTCGTTCAGTCAATTCATCAGCATTTACATAGATATTATATATACTACTACTTCCATAGATATTATATATACTACATAGGGCAGGCATTTCGATCAAAACACACTTAGCGAACGGTTATGTCACTCGTTTCCGCGCCACAACCAAATGCAAATTGTAGGAAAATATATCGTCCAAGTGAAAAATGAAAAGTTTTAGCCCCAAATTAGCTGCCCTTAAAATCTGCCGCCCTAGGCTCCAGTCTACTCAGCCTGCTGGTAAATCCGCCATTGGTAAAAGTACTTTATATTCCAGGTGCATTAAAAGAGAACACAGTCACAATACAGTCGAGGGATTCCCCGTAAAACATAGACAAAAAAGGTTGCCAACTTGGGAGGACAGAATAAAAATGACGTACCATACAATCGAGGGATTCCCCGTAAAACGTAAACGAAAGGGGTTGCCAACTTGGGAGATTTTAATTTCCTAGTTTTTATTGAAATAAAAAAAAAACGTTACGTAACGCGTTATTGGAAAACCCCCTCCCGCCCCTGTAACGCATGGTAACGTTTTATAAGACCCCCCTCCCCCCCAAATTGCGTTACGTAATACTTGAACGCCCCCCAATGAACTTACAGTTCATATGGTGGTAAATGGCTAATGCAATTTATGATCCATTGCGTCTACCATCAAATAAAGTAGGCTACAGATGTGTTGCATTGATCACTGGGGACTAAGATGAAATGGCCCTTCAACACAGCATGCATTGCTATTTGGCAGCAGAAATAGGCTAGAGCAGTCTTAGACAGTAAAAGAAGTCTTACCACTTAGATTTAATAAATATGAGTATGATGATGACTTTTCTAAATCTGTTTAGAAAGTTTATATAATAATAAAATAAATTAGACTTGTTTTTATAAAAAAGTTAATATAAAGTTATTTTGGTTACTTCATAAAACCCTCTTACTTCTACGAGTATTAAATATTGCATTTTATTGTTTATATTATAGTACGGCCGCTGAGTTATTACCGATTTGACAGATTATTCTTAAATTAATCGATATAACCTTGCACGAGCGACACATTTGCCAAATGATTTAGAATACCTCTTTAATATAAAACTTTATGTCAAAATGTCAGAATCAAGTAATTTTCCAATAAACTCTGTTTCAAAACTTAAAATAGTTTGTAAATAATATGAAAACATTTATTTTTTGTTCTTTGGCGCGCTTGTACAAAGTTACATCGTGCGTCTAGTTTTCATAGTGATGTGCTTGATAGTATTCGGTCCGAATTCATTGGAATAGATATGATATTTATTTTATTTGGATATTTTTATTTTACTTATTCCTTCGAGTAACTAGACTATAATGCTACCATGTTTTTGCGTCTCCTAATTGCACTGTGTTGCCAGTATCTCTATGATTTTTAAGATTTATGTGTGATCCAAAGACAGAAATACTGTTTTCTATGATTTAAAAATAAATACAATTAAAATGATTATGTATAATTTTTAACATTCATAATATACAGGGTATTTTTGGAACGCTCCCGAAAACTAAGACAGGCGACAGCACCAAGTATACCTTTGATCATGGGTCATAAATAAATTTGATCCTGATGAAAAAAAAAAACATATTTTTACAACGTTTTATTAGCTTTATTCACGCGCCATCATGTTAGTACAGCTAAATGAAACGATAATTTCATAAAAAAATCATGAAAATACTGAAACATAAAACCAGCAGTGGAAACTGAATTGATATCACCTGACTAATGGAGGTTAATGTACGCGCGAACGGTGAAAAAAGAACGCTGGCCTTGAACTTGGGCACTGAGCGATTTATCACATACTGGCCAGTATTACTGTGCCTGCATGCTATTGGTTCCCGCGCTTTGTTCGCTCCAAAAATACAGTCGCATACACAGCTTACTTTGCGACTCGCGACGATGTTTTAAAAAGGAAGGAAAAAAAAATATTTATATCTATTGTTTTATGACTAAACTAGTGAACGAAAAGGTAAATATGATAGGAGAAGGTGAATGGGGAAAATTGTGCAGTAAAGTTAAAATTGTTGAGGAAGAATACTGAAAAAATTACCATGTGATCGACCTGATGACGGAAGCTCAAGCGAAGATGAAAGTGATGATGAAGTAGCATCCAGTAACACCAACACACCATCAACATCTGGCTTCCATGTGACCCAAGACGTCATAATGGACGGCGTGTCACCCTTAGCTTAAGTTTTTTGTTACAAAGTACTTTATATTTTACGATAGAAATAACAAACAATGCTCAAGTAAACATTATCTATTTTTAATTCCCACCTCTTCCAAAGTTCTAAGTAGCTAGTAAAACACCTATTATGATTCTACAATAAAACAATTAATTACTATAATATTATAAAACAATAGCCCAATACCGTGTAGTACTTTAGAACGCGACTGTACCCACACTCACTCCGCTGTCGACCTGTATCTAGCTCGGTATGAAACAATGCTGCGGTCATAAGAAAAAAAGGCGCATCTAACAATTTTCGAATAAATTACCATTCGACTCATGATAAGAAGACGCATCTACTAAATTTTTTTAATATTCACTAATATCAATATTTTAGAAATTATCGTCAGAATTTTAGACGTAGCTGTTGATCACAGATGACATTTTATTAGTAGAAAAGACTTATACAAATTCAACATAAAAGAAAAGACTTATTTAACCAGTTGCTACGTCATCTTTAACAATATTTGCATCGATTACTTAAATTAAAATTATTCTTGTCTTATTATTTTATATCTTATTATTAAGAGCTCATATCTTATTATTAAGAGCTGGTGTTTCACATGTGGTCCCATATAAATTTGATCGAGGTCAGACCAATAGTTTTTGAGTTATCCTTAATTATTTATATTAAAGTCGGTTGTACAAATGTTTTAATTTTTAATTATTATCGTAGTAAGTCTTGTATGATATCCCCTTTAAAATCATTACTCAAGAGTTGCGGGTTGTTATTTTTTGTGTCTCACTACCAATGCTTTTCTAATATTTACTAAGAAAAAAGTAGTAAATTACTATTAGCGTCCTTTCAACTTCAAATGACCTTTCCAAAATATGTAAAAATGTTAAATGAATGGTAGTTTTGTTTTATTTATTAGGTTGGGAAGACCCAAATAGTTATATGCGTCTTTCCTTCGATGTTTTTGTGTTGCCAGGTGTACTTTTTTAATCTAAGATGAAAAGGAAAATTCGTTTTATTTAAATAAATAAACAAATTAAAAAAAAATAAGTTCGTCCTTAAAATCTTCATGTCTCTACGTATATATTTCAATATAGATACCTTTTAATATACTTTAGACACGGGGTCTGAAAGAAAAATTCATCAATTTATTTTTTATTTCCATTTTACGTTTTTGTTAGTTACTTCCTTTTTTATTATGACGGCAGAATGCCTAACCCTGTCGCCTCACGCTTGTGACGCAGTAGGTTTCATCCTTGACGGGGTTCGTTCGTTTTAGTTTTTGAGACAGTTCCGTGTTGATTTTGTACACGCGTGCGCGAGCGACAGTTCAATCGTTTTGTTTAATAAATTTACTTGTGATTACGTGTTGATATTAAAGTTTTTGTTACGTTTTTGGATTCTTTTTTGTTTTAATAATGCCTAACGCGTACGTTTATAGTGGTCAACATGTTAGGTATCCGAACCTAGGTACACCAGAAACGGCCTGTGGAACCGAAGAAATACACACGTGTATTTAAGTATTTCTTCATTAGCGGGGAATCGAACCAGTTATTTGGGTTATTTAACCTGTAAATTCGGATTAAAGTGGCTACGTGGAGATAAGCACAGTGGCAAAATAGTAGGTTAAGTAGATAAGTTAGGTATTTAGACACGTGTTGTAAATTATTATATTGTGGGATGGCCCGCTAGTTGCGGGCCGCGCAAATTTGTGTTTGCGCGAAAAAAAGAAAACATCTTCTAAATCGCACAGTGGTGGACCGCCAATCATCCAGATGGTGTGGATGGTATCGGGAGTTCTGCCGCGATGTGCGTTCGTGAAATTTGGCGGCTGGGATTAATCCGAACAATTCCTCAGAGCACTCCCCATGGTAGATGCGAAAGAAAATGCAAAGAGATGCAACATCTCTTCGCAGTGCCAATGAATCGAGCCGATCGGAAAGGGCTCGGTCGTCGACGATTCGAGCCGCTCTGCGCTGGATGCGGTCAAGTGGAAGGAGCTGGCACTGGGGAGCCCCTGCCCAGAGATGGGAACAGTATTCCATGTGAGGCCGAACCTGCGCCTTGTAAAGTTGCAGGCGGTGTGCCGGCATGAAATACTGTCCCGCTCTGCTGAGCACGCCAAGCTTTTTAGAGGCCAATTTGGCCTTCTCTTCCAAGTGACCACGAAACTGTACGTCACTCGATATGTCGACTCCGAGGATACCGATACTGGCTGAGGCAAGAAGGGGAGTGCCTTGAAACTGAGGAGATACGACAAAGGGGTTCTTTTTAGCAGTAAACGCGCAAACTTGTGTCTTCTGAGGATTAAACTGGACTAGATTTAGTCGCCCCCAATCCGAGACTTTGTCCAGCAAAGACTCGACTTCAGACACAAGTTTGTTCCGGTACTCGGCGACGTTTTCCCGAGAAATATTGGCCCGGCCGGTGTATAGAGCATCACCAGTGCTGTCATCCGCATAGCAATGAATGTTACCAGTTAGCAACATATCATTGATATGCAGAAGAAACAGCGTTGGTGATAGCACACAGCCTTGTGGAACACCAGCGTTAATAGGCTTGTAGTCAGAACATGCACCGTCTACAACGACCTTGATGCTCCGATCTGCAAGAAAGCTGGTGATCCAATTGCACAATTTCTCGGGAAGCCCATAGGAAGGCAGCTTCGAAAGAAGCGCTTTGTGCCAAACCCGATCAAAGGCCTTCGCAATGTCCAGACTAACGGCCAACGCCTCCCCCTTGGACTCTACTGCCTCCGCCCATCTATGGGTCAGGTAGACCAGAAGATCACCAGCTGATCGACACCGACGAAAACCGTATTGGCGGTCACTAATCAGCTGGTGATCCTCAAGGTACCGGATGAGCTGGCAGTTAATAATGGATTCCATTATTTTGGAGAACAAGGAGGTGATCGCGATAGGCCTATAGTTGGACGGGTCTGAGTATAATTTTCTCCCTCAATTAAGCAATGTTATAGATGTATTTTTTAAGTAATTGGCGATACTATTCTGGCAACACCCTTACCACCGCTATTTTAATCTGTTTAGTCGTCTTCCGTACTCTCGTGCGCACAGACTACGTTCTCTTGTGTAACCGTTGTTTTTTGACTCGGCTTTCTCCTGTTTATCGTTGCGCTTTATTGGACTAATTTTGTTTGTGTTTGGTAATTTTGTTGAAAATGCCGAAACGAGGAAAAACATTGAATAGTCAATGTCGTGAGCTTGTACTAAAGCTACAGGATTACTTTGAGCGTGAGTCACAAAATGGCGGCTCTTTGATTCCTGTCACTCAAGTGAAAGATCGGGTTTCACAAGCTCTTGGAATTGGTGCAAAAACACTATATAATATAAATAAAGAAAAATTTGGTTTCTGGAAGTGAAGATAATGTTTTACGCACTTCTAAGAAAAAACGAAGACAAAAGCCCGTGACAGGTGTTGATGTTTTTGATGCAGATGCAATAAGAAACCACATATATGGTTATTATACTAGGAACGAGTTTCCAACTAGACGTTTGCTTTTGGTCTCTTTAAAAGAAGCTGGCTTGTTTAAAGGCGGTAAAACGGCGTTGTCAAAACTATTGCACGAAATTGGGTTTGAATATAAAAAAACGAATAAAAGGAAAATATTAATGGAAAGATTTGATTTAATAATTAAAAGGAGCGAGTTTTTAAGAGAAGCCAGAAAAATCGAGTCTTGGGACAACGTCGTTTTTGTTGACGAAACATGGTTAAATGCGAACCACACTGTGTCACGCTCTTGGACTGACGAAACAAAAGCATCAACCTCAAAGGTTCCAATTGGAAAAGGATCGCGACTGATAATTTGTCACGCCGGTTCTGCTGGAAGTGGTTTCTTTGAAAATGGAGTGCTGGCTTTCGCGTCAAAAAGTACTTCCGATTACCACGAGGAGATGGATACAGACACTTTTACGAATTGGTTCGAAAATCAATTATTACCCAGCCTGCCAGAGCCTTCTATCATAATAATGGACAACGCTTCATATCACTCGAAACAAGTGAATAAAGCGCCTACTCAGGCCGACAAGAAAGCTGATCTCGTAGCATGGCTACACCAAAATGGAATTGAAACTACTGCCGAAATGCTAAAGTCTGACTTAGTAAAGTTGGTACGCGAAAATAAAACATCAAGAGTCCGTTATGAAGTAGATGAGATAGCTCTAGCACATGGACATCGGGTACTTCGAATTCCGTCTTATCACTGCCAGTACAATACCATTGAGCTAATATGGGCACAAATCAAAGGTATTGTTTTTTATCGCATAAGTTATGAATATGAATAATTTGTACTATTATAACATCCAATATTCAGCATATAAGTAAAAAGATACATAACTAAGAAATAAATATCTCATGTCCCTTACATGTAGGTAATTGTGTAACATTTCGTTTATTTAATGTAATAAATTAACGTTATTTAATGTTTACATTACAGGTTACGCAGCTCGTAATGATACGACTCCGCCATTCAGTACTAATAAAATGATGGGTCTATTAAAAGATCCTTGCAGCAAAATAACGAAAGAAGATTGGGTCAAGGTCGTCGAAAAGACTCGAATACTAATAACAGAACATTATGAACGCGATATAAGAGTGGACACCATTATAGAGAATGAAATTGTCATACAAGTGACTGATAGCGATGACAGCTCTGGCGAATCTGGTTCAGAGTCTGAATAATTGTTTTAATAAATGATAGGTAGTCATTTATTAAAACATCTTGTACCTACTCTATTCATTAAAATGTGTAACAGTGTTTACAAATTTGTTTTATTTTGATATGTCCTCGACCAATTATCTACGCCCATCAAGGATACTCTACCTAATAAAGAACCTGTGTCTTTAACTATTATTGTTTTGATTTTATTTAATTACACACTATACTAGAATATTTAAAAACAAACTGTTCCCAAATGATATTAGGGTTACTGGTTCAGTCACTTCACTAGTATTGTCAATTCGTCATGTGTCAAATCGGTAATAACTCAGCGGCCGGACTATAATAAGAAATTTTATTAAATTATGTAAATATAAATATAATAGTTACAATAAAAAGATCAATAAATATATAAGACAGCTATAATAGTAATCTGGGGGCACGGCAGTGCCCCCGCCAAGTCTACCAAAAAAGTGGCACAGCCGTACCATCCTTTCCTCGAAGCAATTCAGGCCATTTTCGGAACCCAATAACTTCGTTATGAATAAAACTAGAAGCCTGAATTTTAAGTAACCAATTAGAAATTATATAAGCTCAGTATATTTCAAATTTCATTAAATTTGAACCAGTAGTTTAAGAATTGTAACTGTCAAAGTTTCTTAATTTTGTCACTCACTGACTGACGGATCATCAAAACTCTAAGGCGTAGTGATTATATTCTCTTTGCTCTAAGGCACTTCTAGCAGACGTAGAAATTTCAAATTTGGAATACAATTATTGTGTAGTAGATAATACAAGAAAAAATTAAAATATTTTACAATTTCAGTCCAGTTTTCGAGATACATTAACTGCATGAATAACTTGTAATCCCATATAAATATATAGGATTACAAAGTTACATTTGCAGTGAATGAATCAGTGTACCTATATATGTATAATATAATGGAATAATAGGTGTAGATAGGTTATGTATATATAACTATCTACAAAAAGAAATGAGATACCATCAAAAACATAACTTGTAAATAAACCAAGTCTCGCAACTCAGTTCTTCTACCATAAAAAGTTGAGAGATCCATGTAATACCAAGTCGGTTAATTTATTCAGTCCCTACTTAAGTGTCCTTCTGTCTTAAGTTATTACGTAGTTAGCTAACCTCACAACATCTTATAGTGACCATATCAATATTAATTTTTTTTATGTTTTAAATAAATAAATTGACTTGGCAATCGCACTAAATGCCTATGTTTAACAGGTTCAGTGCGGATGGCACGCCAGGCGTGCCATCGATTACTTTTGTGTGTGGCGTATGACACGCGAGTCGTGTCTTTTTTAAAAAACGTTATAACTCACTCAAATTGCTTTTTTGGAAAATTTATCCAGAATAAAATATTCATTATTTTGCAAGTAGTTCATCCCTGCGGCTTCGTTTCTGGATATTTTGAAGATTTGATATTTTTAGGGGTTGACAACCTTTTTTTAACTTGTAAATGGTACTCTTTTTACTTTGTGGGTTTTCAATCATGTTGTTGGAAAATAGTCTAATAAGTATAACAAATAATAGCACTCATTTAAATCGCTCACAAACTCGAGTTGTATATAAATTTCTGGAAAACAAGTATTTCTTAATTTTGCTTAAAATGGTTGAACTGCCGTCTTATTACTATCAATGACCGAATAGACCTACGAAATACCATGTGCTCTTGTGATATGGTATAAGGTTTATTTTTGCTTGAAACAGTTGGAAACCGTTCATGCATAAAAAAAGTTCGCTAATAAATAGTCTTTTGTCAATCCGCCGCCGTATAGCGCCGGCGTTTGTTTTCTTTTGAAAACACTTGTTTTGCTATTCTTACTAATTAGACGTTTTCAGATCGACTTTACTTTTACATTTGTATAATATTAAATAATATTTAACATTTGTAAATATCAATGAATCATGAACCTTATTTTTTTTTCATAATTGAGGATCTTGATTGTTTCATATTTACAAATGTTATTATTAGATGAAATTTAATTTAATAAGTACCAAGCTTTTCCAGGGTGATTTAGCTGTACCTACTCATATAAATGATTTTTTTATAAAACAAAAAAATAGTACAAAAGGTTTGTAATCTCTGCATAAAAATTCACTTACTCTCAATTTCAAAGAAAACATATAGAAAAACACGTAGTTACCCACTAAAACAAGTATCCTTCCGTTTGTAACTGATGTTTGATGTCAAATAAACTTAATTAGGTCTAAACAAGTAAAAAAACCATAAAAAATAACATTACTTTTACACATGGCTAATGGCACAAAAGTCGTGTCAAAGTCTGTGGCACATGACACGCCAAGCGTGTCATGAATATTTGTTCGCCGCCACAGCTAAAAGTTGTCGAAAATTGGTGCCGCAACGAATCGGTTAATATAATATTGTTACGAGCTTGGGGTTCGAGACAATTAAAAACTGCCGACTGAATTACCAAAATTGACACTTTAATTACACAACACTAATTACAATCTAAAATCACACTAATAATAAAACACAGTTCGCCGTTATTTCGCTACGAAGTATTCTCTTGTATCGCCAATTCAATACTGCCCCGGTCGTGGTCTATACCGGCCTTATATAGGGCCTCAGATAGTTTCCAGAACCTTCTACTGTAGCGACATCTAGAATGTTCGAGTACATATCGGTCCCGAAATTTCTGGAAGGATCTCGACTCTCCTAGTTCTGCTACTCGACACTAGAGGGCGCTAGTGTAACTAGTGTTGCCATGTACAAGACATTAATAGTGGCGCACAATACTTTCATTTACTCGACACTAGAGGGCGCTAGTGTAACTAGTGTTGCCATGTACAAGATATTAATAGTGGCGCGCAACACTGCCCCCTCCTAAGACATGCTCGTCCCGAGCATTATTGGCCCCATAATAACGCGCCAGTCGATCCACATGGACAATCTTAGGAGTACCTCTGGCACCTTTCTGTATCCGGTAGGTTACATCATTGATCCTTGTCACAATCCGGTACGGTCCGTCCCATTTAGCTTGAAGCTTAGGAGATTTCCCTTTGCTGCGAACTGGATTGTGTAACCACACTAGTGAACCTTCATCAAAGCCCTTGTTGTTCATTTTGCGGTCATACCGTGTTTTCATCTTCTCAGACATTTGCTGGCCCGTCTGTCTGACGTGCTCATAAATGTCATTCATTTTGTTCCGCAAGTCATTTGCATAATCGGTTATACCGCGTGGGGCATCAGGTGGTATTCCGGTGATTAGGTCTGCAGGCAGCCGCAATTCTCTCCCAAAGTTTGCGAAAGCTGGTGTCACTGATGTACTTTCGTGAACAGCGCTTCGATATGACAACAAAAACGGTTGTATGTGCCTGTCCCAGTCTCGTTGCCGTTTTTCCACAACTTTTGCTAGGTACCTCTCCAATGTCTGATTAAATCTTTCTACCATTCCATCAGATTGTGGGTGGTAAGAAGTTGTTCGTGTTTTCTGAGTACCCATAACTCGGCAAGTTTCCTGGAATATTTGAGACTCAAAATTCCTTCCTTGATCGCTGTGAATCTCTAAAGGTACTCCAAAACGACAGAAGACTTCATGAACTAGTTTATCTGCAACTGTTGAAGCTTCTTGATTTGGAATGGCGAAGACTTCTGGCTACTTAGTGAAGTAATCCATCACTACCATGAAATACTTGTTACCACTTTCAGTTTCTGGAAACGGCCCCGCAACGTCAATGGCTATCCTCTCCCATGGTGCACCAACATTGTACAATTTCAATGCGCCTCTACTACGAATTTGAGGTCCCTTTACAGCCGCACAACTTGTACATTTGCGGCACCAGTCCTCGACATCGTCACGACAGTGGACCCAGTAAAACCGTTCTCGGATCTTCAGGAGAGTTCGCTTAACTCCCAGGTGGCCTCCTGAACAACCACTATGGTACAGCTGTAGGACATCCGGTACTTTAGCCTTAGGGACAACCATTTGCAAATGACACCTGTCTCCCCGACCATTTTCCCATTTACGGCACAGGACTCCATCCTGAATCAGCAAGCTGTCCCATTGGGCCCAATAGCTTTTCGTGGTCGAACTCATTGCTGAGACGTCGCTCCACTTGGGCTTAGGAGCACTGGCCTTCATCCATTCCAGAATCGGCTTAATGTCCGAATCTTCCTGCTGTGCATGTTGTAGGCTGTCCTTCTATTCATTGCTGAGCTGGTCTGTCCTGAATATCCTCGCAGATACCACTTCTTTACCCTCTTGTCTAGTACAATGCTTGCAATCTTCAGGGCAAGGTCTTCTTGATAATGCATCTGCATTGCCATGAGATTTCCCGCTGCGATGTTCGATCACAAAGTCGTATTCCTGTAGTAGTTCAATCCATCTCGCAACTTGTCCTTCAGGATTTTTGAACTGCAATAGCCATTTCAGTGCAGCATGGTCAGTTCGTAAGTAGAATTTCCGCCCCAGGAGATATTTGCTAAAATGCTGCAAGGACTTTACCACAGCAAGCAATTCCCGTCTTGTGACACAATAGTTCCTTTCCGGCTTTGACAACGACTTGCTGAAGTACGCTATCACAATCTCTTGATCACCATTCCGTTGAGACAACACACCGCCAAGTCCTATATCACTTGCGTCTGTGTCAACTATGAATTCCTTGCCCGCATCAGGGTACCCCAAAATAGGTGTTTTGCACAGACGGTTCTTGAGCTCCTGGAATGCAATATCGCAACTTTCATCCCAGCAGAAATGTCGCTTCTCCTCGGTTAGCTTGTGCAGAGGTTTGGCTATATCTGCAAAGTTCTTCACAAATCGCCGATAATAAGAGCACAAACCCAAAAATGCTCTAACCTGTGTCTTGTCTTTTGGAACCGGCCACTCCTTGACAGCGGCAATTTTCTCTGGATCCGTGCGGATACCTTCTTCCGACACTACATACCCCAAAAAACTAACTTGCCGTTTGAATAGTGAGCACTTCTTTGGACTCAACTTGAGGTTGGCACTCTGGATCTTCATGAGCACGCGTTCCAGGTTTTGAAGGTGTTCCTCAAACGTACGGCCTACGATGATGATGTCATCCAAATAGACCAGACAAGCATCTCCAATTAGCCCGGTAAGTACAAGCTCCATCAACCTTTCAAACGTTGCTGGAGCATTGCACAATCCAAACGGCATGACTTTGAATTGCCACAGACCCTTTCCTGTGGAGAATGCAGTTTTCTCCTTGTCCTTAGGGTCAATTTCAACCTGCCAGTAGCCACTTTTCAGATCTAGCATACTAAACCACTTTACGCCTGTAAGCATGTCCAGCGTGTCATCAATTCTTGGCAAGGGATAGCTGTCCTTCTTTGTAACGTCGTTCAGGCGGCGGTAGTCAACACAAAACCGCATGCTGCCGTCCTTCTTCTTTACCAGCACCACAGGTGAACACCATGGACTAGATGAAGGTTCAATAACACCATCCTTCACCATTTATCACGTGGTAGAGCCATGCTGCGGCTATATTAGTAGTATAGTTGTAGCACGAATGGGTCGGCTCGACCGGGGAAGGACCACGCTCTCACGGAATACCAGCGTTAAATAGCAGATTAACGCTGCTGTGTTTCGTATGGTGAGTGTAGAGAACCGGAGACCCTTATTACTGGCAAAGAGGCATTCCATCTTAGTCCTCACGGGTGGCAACGCATCTGCATCTTGAGTCTTTATTGATGATAGATGTAGATGTCTATGGGTCACAGTAGCCACTTACCATCAGGTGGACTGTGTGCTCGTTTGTCACCCTATCCTATAAAAAAAAAAAAAAAATTCCCTCAATCATGGTTTCCACTTCCTTTTCACGTGCTACAGGCAATCTTCTTGGCCGCTGACGAATAGGCAATTCTTGTCCTGTGTTTATTTTGTGTTGAACTAAGCCAGTCTTTCCTATGTCAGCTTCGTTTGACGAGAAAACATTGGCGTACTTGAGTAACAACTTCTTCGCCTTGACCATTTCATTCGGGGAAAGAACGCTGCGACAGTCTTCTAAAAGTGTGGTCACTATCGTTTGTCCATCCTTGCTGGGGGTCCCGGTCGATAGATATTCGCATCGACGCAACCAATCCACTTCCTCACTAGTACCAACCAATGTGCCTTTTTCTATAATCTGTTCCTGATCACAAAGGTTCAACACACGTACTCCTGAGATGTCGGTGGTTCTGACCAAGTTTCGAGCCACTTTCCATGGAAGGTCATTGTCTACCCTTTCCACGAGTACACAACGATGGGCTTGCCCAGGACTCTGAGGAAGACTAACCGGCACAATCGTTTCCGATCTCGGCGGAAGAACAATCTTCTTAAGGCTGTACACATTCCCTGGTAACGCCCCTTCCACGAAAAGTTCTTCTTGTCCACATTTCAAAACACCTTGCTTAACGTCGATCTCACAACATTTCTTCCTCATAAAGTCTAGGCCCAGGATGCAGTCGTCCATTATATCAGCCACGATGACATTATGCAGGTAGATCATGTTGCCTAGCTTCAACTCCATCTCCTTCTCTCCACGGACGGGTATGCGCTGACCGGTGGCTGTCACCGAATTAATGCGTTCTCGGTTGTATGCGGAGTCCCCAAGGAACCGACTTATAAGTTGGGAACTGACAACCGTGCGAGAGGCTCCAGTGTCTATGGTCAGTTTACACGGCGTTCCGTTGACTTCGCCTTTGATGATTAGGCTGTTCCCATCATGGGTTTGTGAGATCGAAATCCTTGGGGCTCTTTTAACATCAGCCAGCACCCGCCCCGCAGTCCTGGCTTTTACTTGTTTCCCTGCTGCTGCTGGGCGGTGCTATTATCCGCACTACCCTCTCGAGATCGATCACCTTCCCTTTCTACAGTTCGTTTAGGGCAGCTGGATCGAAGATGGCCCCTTTCCCCACAGCCGTAGCACCTAGGGTTGTAGCCCTTATTGCGGTCCTGAACTGTAGCTGCTGCAACCTCCCTGACGCGGTGGGAACGATGATCCTGCCGCACGGCTTCCACCTCCAGTGCATGGGTCAGGGCGTCCTTAAGCGTCTCGTGGTGCCCGAGCCTCACAGCAGCTCGGACTTCAAGGTCGCGGATGCCGTCGATGAAAGTCTGCACCAGGTTCCCTACAATGAGCACAGGTACAGACTGGTACGCTTTTCGAACCAGCTTCTCCACCTCAAGGGCCCACTGCTGCAGGTTTTCGTTACTGCGTTGCACGCGATCTTTGAGCTGCGCACGAAAGACGTGTTCCAGGTGGGCATCGCCATATCTCGCCTCCAATGCCTCAAGGAGCTGCTCGTAAGTCACTTCCTTACCGAGCGCTTCCAAAACAGTTAAGGCCTGGTCGCGTAGGCCTAGGGTGAGAGCAGTCATGACCTGACTTTTATTCCAGCCGTTCGCTTTCATGACAGCCTCGAACTGGATTTTGTAGGCCGACCAGGAAGAACTCCCGTCGAACGGCGGCACTTTGAATCCACGTAGCGAAGGTGTTGTAGCTACCACGGGAGCTGTGATTCCATCCCCAAGTTTGAGGTCGTCCAGCGTTTTCTTCACATCAGCCATCACGTTGTCAACCCGATTGTTCACTTGGTCGATTCGGGTTTCAGCTTCCGACAGGCGGTTGTCATGTTGAGCAACCCTATCCTTCACCTCCTTTATCTCTTTCCCGAAGGTAGCGTGAAGGTCCTTCCTCAGGAGCATCTGTTCTTCCATACCGCGCTGCAGCTGCTCTTCCAGCCGACGGGTCTGTTCCTCCTGTCGGCGGGCCTGTTCCTCCTGTCGGCGAGCCTGATCCTGCAGCATTATCATCAGAGCACCTAAGTCAGGTGCTGCAGATGCAGGAGCTGCTGACGGGCCAGCCTCCGTGGTTAGCAACTGGCCCTTCGACGTTTGCGGCGTTGCATTACCAAATCGTCTCTGGTCCGTCTCCTGTTGGCGTTGACTTCGGGTACGGATACCCTCCGTGTCGTCTTTAGGTAAAATCGGCATATTTGATCCCACTTCTGACACCAATTGTTACGAGCTTGGGGTTCGAGACAATTAAAAACTGCCGACTGAATTACCAAAATTGACACTTTAATTACACAACACTAATTACAATCTAAAATCACACTAATAATAAAACACAGTTCGCCGTTATTTCGCTACGAAGTATTCTCTTGTATCGCCAATTCAATACTGCCCCGGTCGTGGTCTATACCGGCCTTATATAGGGCCTCAGATAGTTTCCAGAACCTTCTACTGTAGCGACATCTAGAATGTTCGAGTACATATCGGTCCCGAAATTTCTGGAAGGATCTCGACTCTCCTAGTTCTGCTACTCGACACTAGAGGGCGCTAGTGTAACTAGTGTTGCCATGTACAAGACATTAATAGTGGCGCACAATACTTTCATTTACTCGACACTAGAGGGCGCTAGTGTAACTAGTGTTGCCATGTACAAGATATTAATAGTGGCGCGCAACAATATGTATTACTTGAGAGATACATTGTGTTTTCATGCGATTGCCAAGTCAATCTATTTATTGAAAATATAAAAGATTTTTAGTATTGATGTGGTCACTATAAGATGTTGTTAGGTTAGCTAACTACGTAATAGCTTAAGACAGAAGGACCCTTAAGTAGGGACTGAATAAATTAACCGACTTGGTATTACATGGATCTCTCAACCTTTTACGGTAGAAGAACTGAGTTGCGAGACTTGGTTTTTTTACAAGTTATGTTTTTGATGGTATAATTTTTTGATTTCAGACAATACATACTCATTTCTACAGGAAAATAGTTTTGATCAGCCGTTGTCAGCTGCCAAAGCTTAATAACTACATACAATTTTTAATTTTTATGTAGTTACATACAATTTTTACCAATACGGAACAAATCTTGATTATGAACAAATGGAGCAAAATGCTTTTATTAAGGCTGTAAATGATTGTGTTTCAGATAAGGATGCGAGGCACAGCACATTCCAAGTCAATATGAAGCTATGTAATATATAAACTCAAGTGCTGTAGAGATCTGCTTAGATTATAATTTTTTAATATTGTATATATTAATAAATTATTAAATTTGTGAACAAAATTATTGTAAAGTAAAAATTAATAACGAATAAAAAAATATTAAATTTCATCATTGTTTCGAAAGTGTTTTAATATAAAATTTCGATCATTTCTTAGATTTGGTTTGGTATAAACGTAAATAAATAAATACTCCTCCCCATCTGTCATCGGTAATTTCAACAAAAGACCACCCTCATGTTTAAATATGGATAGTGATAAAGATAAATCGATAGACAGAAGTGATGGAAGTGATTCGGAAGTCATACGTATATGTGAATTAGAACTAAAGCAAATTGAAGATCGAAGAATAACTCGTGTGGCTAAAATGGAACAGGCGAACTCTGGGTTCACTACCCGAAAGTCTGAAGTGAGATCGGAGAAGAGAAAAGCACGTGAAGAAGATACAAACAGCGAAGATGATTATGTGACAGTTGAGAAAAGAAGACCGAAACGACTCTTAAGAAGTATTTCAACAGGACAGGGACAAAAGACAACATCGAAAGAAATCGGATCTAAATATGAGGTTTGTGTTACATCATTTAAAGAATTACCAAAACAAATGGCGTTAGCTAAATTATTACGAAGTGAGAATATTCAGAATATTGAAACAATCAAATATAAGTCTCCTTTCAAAGTTTTGATTTGTTTTCAAAGTGATAATGATGCGGAAAAAATGATTAGTTGTAAAAAATTTCAAGATTTAGAGTACAAATGTCAAAAAACGTTTGAAACCACGGTTTCTTATGGATTGATCAGAGGTGTGGATTTGGAGTTTACTGAGGAAGATATTTTAGCAATTTTGAAAAGTGATATCAAAATATTGGCGGTAAGACGACTTAAACGACTAGATTTAAATAGCAAGTGGGTCGAAAGTGAAACTGTAAGGATATGCTTTCAAGGCACTATTTTACCTCCTTATGTCACGGCATATGAGTATAATTTCAAAGTGGAAAACTACACTTTTCCAGTAACACAATGTACCGGATGCTGGAAATTCGGACATATTATTAAAGCATGCCCGACTAAAAAAATCTTATGTCCAAAATGTGGTAGTACAGAACACATAAACTGTGATCTAAAAACATACAGGTGCCTCAATTGTAAAGGATTACATTTCGTTTTGGATAAAAGTTGCCCTATGTATCTCAAAGAAAAAGAAATACGTATCACTATGAGTAAGGAAAATATAACTTACAGAAAAGCTCTACAAATGATTATAAATAAAAGTCAAATAGAAATGAGCGAAAACTTAAATATGCACTCTAAAAATACTTTTGTCAATCAAGAGATGACAGAACAGCCTACACAAGTATGGGAAAACCGTGGCTCTCGAAGTTATAGTCAGGTTGTTGCTGACGCTCAAGTTCATAATGAAAATAATCAAGAACCAGCCTCAGAGGAAGGAAAAACACCTTTAGAAACAAATAAAAAGGAAAGGAAAGAAAAGAAAAAACAAAGACAAAGAAAAGAAAAGAAAAAAATAAATATGATAGAAAATGATATTGAGTTTAAGGAAGCGGAAGAAGAAAGCCAAAAAAGTACTTCAGACGAAGAAGAAATGAGTGAAAAAACAGTTGATTTTAAGGGACTCTTATTAAAAATTCATTCTATTTGGTACTCTAGGAAAAGTTATGAGGATAAAGTTTTTGCGGTTTTCGTGGCTATTTTTAAAGTAATTAAAACATTTGTGAGTAGTTTAATATCGGGACGAAAAATTTATGAAACAGTTTTAAATTATATGAATCATGGATAGTACAAATAACAAAAACATCGCTATTAATATATTACAGTGGAATACACAAAGTTTGAAACCAAAATTGATAGATCTTGGGGAGTTTTTGATAAAAGAAAAAATACACATAGCCATACTAAGTGAAACATGGTTAAATACTGATGATAATATTTATAGACGGGACAGATATGACTCTTATGGTGGAGTTGCAATCGTTACACACAACTCACTTCAAAGCGTAATAAGTACAATTAGATTAACTAACCCAAACATAGAAATTGTGTGTGTTAAATTGTACAATTGTGAGTTCTTACAAAATATTATATCAGTCTATTGTCCATCATCAGTTAGAACTCAAGCATCAGACTGGGAGGAGCTATTTTCCTTCTTCCCAAAAAAATCATTAATAGCAGGTGATTTTAATGGACACCACAGCAATTGGTCGTACAAAACCGATGCAAGAGGGGTGCAATTAGTAGACTCATCGATAGAATATGGTTATCTTTCTCTTAATAATGGAATGCCAACGAGAGCTAAACTTGTCAATGGGTTTTTACAAGAAACTTCCCCAGATATTTCTTTTGTATCAAATGATATTGCCATTAACTTCGTGTGGAAGGTTCTTAATGAAAATCTAGGGAGCGATCACCTTTTAATTAAATTAAGTACTAATATCCCAAAACAATATAATAGCATTAAGAAACGTAATTTTAAGAAAATTGATTGGATAGCCTATACTAACAAAATTAAAGAATCCTTTAGCGTTGATTTATTAGATATTGATACATATGATAAAACATGTATTCAAGAAATGTATAATTTTCTACTTGCTCAACTTGATAAAGCGGCCGATGCTAGTATACCTACTATAAAAGTACGCATTGATCCAGAAACAAAATTCAAACCCCGAAATTATTGGAACCCTGCCCTGTCTAGAGTAATTGCTCAAAGAAGATTAGCCCTTAGGAATTTTAGACGTAATCCGACTCCCAACAATCTAACTCACTTAGAAGCAAAAACTAAAGAAGCCAGTAAACTTATAGCAGAGGCAAAACGTACTCATTGGCAGAACTTTTGCGAGTCAATTGATGGAAAAATTTCAATATCAAACATGTGGCAGCGCATGCGATGGATAAAAGGTATTCGTAAACAAAAATCATTCATTCCGTTAGATAAGCAAGAAAAACTTCTACTTTCGCTCACACCAGATTCTGCAACCGACGTATGTCCAAAATTTATATCTAAAAATTCTTCATTAGAGACTGATTTTACAATGGAAGAATTGAAAAGTTGTCTTAAAAAAAAAGATACTGCTCCTGGAGATGATAAAATCACATATAGTATGATCTATAATCTTCCCGATATCGCAAAAAGATTTCTTTTATTGCTTTATAACCTTGTGTTCAGGTCTGGAAATATACCAAGTCAATGGCGTAATGTGCTGGTTATACCTATACCAAAAAATAGTAGCCCATCTAATTCTGATGATAAACTGAGACCAATTTCCTTAATGTCATGTCTTTGTAAAACTTTCCACATTATGATGCTAAAGCGACTAGAATGGTTCATTGAAAAAAATTGCGTATTTTCGCCATCGACAGTTGGATTTAGGAAATCACAATCTTGCTTGGACTGTCAGTCTCGCTTGGTAACATATATACAAACTGGTTTTACACAAAATATACCCACGTTAGCTTGCTTTTTAGATATTGAAAACGCTTATAATAATGTTGATATAAATAGTGTCTTAAAAATATTAGATGAATTGCAAGTTGGTAGTAAGTTCTGTACATATTTATGGTTATTCCTAAGCGAAAGACATTTATGGGTAAAATCTCAAGTTGAAAATAAAGTACTTAAAAGAAGCACAAATAAAGGATTAGCACAAGGAGACCCAATATCCCCTTTCCTATTCAATATAGCGACTTATAGAATTTGCCATTTACTATCACAACACAACGTAAACATTATTCAATATGCTGATGACTTTGTTATTTATATAAAAGACAAAGATATAAAAATTTGTGAGTCAAAGATCAATAATGCGTTATATTGTATAGTGGAAATGTTAAACGATCTAGGTTTACAGCTGTCAACTGACAAAACAAAGTTATGCCTGTTTAGTCGAGGACGTAGACGATTTCTGCCTAATGTAACAGTTAACGAACGCTCATTGACTTCCCTAAATTGCTTTAAATACTTGGGGTTGTGGCTAGATAGTAACCTACTCTGGAACAAACACATTAATGATATTACAGAAAAATGTAATAAGTTTTTAAATCTACTAATGGTATTGTCTGGGCCATCTTGGGGAGTTCATCCCAAACATATTCGTCAGTTGTATATTTCGTTAATAAGAAGTAGAATTGATTACGGTAGTTTTTTATTTGATAATTGCGCTAATGTCCATTTATCAAAATTAGATAAAATACAAAATAAAGCGTTAAGGGTTATTGGTGGTTTTATCAAAAGTTCTCCAATACATGTAATGGAAAGCGAACTAAGCGTACCTCCACTTCATATTAGAAGACTATATCTAGCTTATAAATATGTTTTAAAAGCCAGCTCTTTTTCCAATAATGTTACAATTAATTCTTTAAAGCAACTTAGCACTCTCTGTGAAACAAGATATTGGCAACGCAAGAAAATCCCACTATTAGTTAAATCTTATAATAAGACTAAAATTATGAATATACAATCATCCCCTTTTCTCGAATCATTTTCGCTTAGCACTTGGTTGTCCCGCATTGATATTGAAAATATATTATTAAGTAAATTAGAGTCTGTAAAACAATCCAAAAAACTATATGAAAAAAATTCTCTTAAACTAAATATTATTGAAGAACTTGAAAATAAATACCACGATTGGCATAAAATCTACACAGATGGATCAAACAGTGCTAAGTTGCAAGGAGCAGCTTTTTTCGACTCATCTCGAGCAATTTCTAGATGTTATAAAGTTACTAATGACGTTTGTATTATGACCCTTGAACTCATTGCAATATCCGAAGCCCTAAGGTATGCCGCAAGCTATAACTGGGACAAAATTATTGTATACTCGGACAGCAAAACTGCTATCCAACACTTGGCTCGATCCGCCTCTGGAATCAGAGGTGTTTCGATAGCCTATACCATACTTTCCCAACTATATGAGTTCAGTCTACGCGATATCTGTGCAAAAGTGCAATGGATTCCATCACACATTGGTCTATTGGGTAATGAGGAGGCAGATAGATTAGCGAATTCTGCTTGTGTAAATGGTGTAGAGTATAATATTAACCCCTGTTACTCAGAAGTACTGCCAAAATTCAGAAATTTATGTCATACCGAATGGAAAGAGTTTTTCAATGAACGCTCCAAAACTAAAGGTATTTGGTACAAAACGATACAGAGTGAGCCACCCCGAATACCCTGGTTTATAGATACAAAAATAAATAGAAATATTATTAAAATAATGTTTAGAATAAGAACAGGTCACATCCCATCAAAAAAATTTTCTTATCTGATGAAAAAAACTGATTCACCTAATTGTGAAACGTGTGGAGTAATAGAAGACTTACATCATTTTTTAATGGAATGTGAGCGGAACCGAGGGGCAAGGGAATTATTTATAAGGACCTATAAGATAAATATGTACAATATGGGTATTGCGCAAGGCATTCTACATGCCCCCACCTCGGATATTGCATTGAGTATGTGCAGATTAATAATAAATGTATAGATTTTAAATTAGTTATAATGGGATTGACATATTAACAAATAAAAATCCCTAAATAAATAAAGAAAAAAAAAATCATTGTTTCATTTTTATTTACCCTATTTTAGTTTTTCAATATTTTAAAATAAATTTTGCAAGTAATTGGTTGAGGCTCACAAAAAATGTACCTTATCCATATTTTTCGTGAGCCGAATTTTGATTAAAGGAAAAAATATTTCGGAAGTTCTGAACAAATAAATGTTTTTGTTTCCTGTGTTCGATATTATTCACTTGTTAGTATCAGCCCATTTAAATTGTTATTTAATTTGAATTTAACCAAAAATAAGCAACAACAATAAAATGCTTACTTCTTGTTTCATAGAAAAATAAAATGTGTCCACCCAAAATAAAATCTTTTTTTTTTATTTTCAAAGTGTGTGATTTTTATCGTGACATCTTAGTAATTACTTAAATGTATCGGAATAAAACTACTATCCCAATAGTAGACATAATAATTTATTCAAAAAATGACAAAACTATGATTAAAAAATACAAATGTACCAATAATGTTTCACGTGTGTTACGAACAATTTGCTACATGATAGATTTTTTCTAATGGGTTATAGCAACACGTATGATGGTTGTTTTATGAAGGCAACATTACTACTTTCAATACGGAATGTCAGTGGTCAATACAGACATCTTCGTTTTTTGGAAAAGGCAGTACTCTTGTGTGTTATTTTTCGTAATTGGATTTTAGCGACTTTTCGGAAGAAATTTTGCATGGTAAGTAACAACATAACATTTTATTTGTTTAGGTTAATGCCAATTAAGAGGGATATGTAAATTATTAAATAATGTAATATTTCACTGCCTTGCATTGCATTTAATTTTGCTACACGACTTTTAGGTCATGGTATTCACGAGTGTTTGCTCACGTGTGTTGCGTGTGTTATGAATTTGTGTGACGTAACACACGTGAAAAGTGT